CGACTAAAAGAAAGTGTTCTTGCAATCGTTCCGCGATCGACAACCGTGACGGCCGCTATGAAGGCGCAGACATTAGAACCGCTTGTTCAACGTTCGGGCAACTCCCTTTCCGACACACTTCGCTGCCCGATTCACCGTGCCACCGACGCTGAACTAGATGTCAGTGGCCCCACGCGAGTCATCTCGCGACGTACGGTCACAGTGTTGATGCGACGGCAATGATGTCACTCGTCTTACGATAGACTTAACAGTATAATTGTAATTAGACTGTGACATAAAGAAAACTCGGATGGCAAGTATCGTTCGACGTGAATGGCTAGGGTCGTCGGTGCGAGATCAGATTCTTCCGGGGGTGCTGGTGCGGCGTCGGCCGCGGCGGTGACGCCCACAGCTCTGGCCGCACGCGAGCCTCAGTTGGTCGTGTGCGTGCGCGCTGTGAAAGTCTCTTGCGCGCCATGCGTTCTGTGTCGGGCACGTCCTCGGTCCCGGCTCACGTAAACCTGGGTGCTAGAAGACAGAAGACGGACTTGCACGTGGCTGAGCCCGCCCTTACGCGCTCTTCAAGCCCAGCACCGAGCCTCCGCAGCCAGCGAGCGAAGCAGTACAGGTCGACACTTTTAATTCGTATTAACCGCACTCGCGATTGCGTGATACCTCGGTCGTGGCTATTTTAAATGCATTACGGTTTTCATCACTGAAATTCCCAAGGTTTCTTCGACGATTCTGTGTTCGTAAATAAAATCGTTCCTTATCATATCAGTCAGGTGAATTGTACCTTATCTGGACGTATCGAGTGCCTCGAACGTTTTCCAATGGCTATCATGTTGTTTTGAAAGTGAAAAGGTTTTACGAGTTAATAATACCAAAAACGTAAAACGCTTTGTTTTCGAGACTTTCCAATTAGGTCATGACTAAATACTGTTTTGTTTATAACCTTGCGCAAAATGTGACCAATAGTTGCATATTCAAACGGACTCTTAAAAACTTTGTAAGGCTACTTACTATAGTCGTGTGACAAGGCCAACTCAAATTGAGAGGGACACTAATCCATCGAATGAAGTTATTCAAGCGCACGTCAAGAAACTACAATCAAGGTTACTGTTATTAATTCGTTTTTGAAATAAGAACAATGAGGAAGCGGGTCATTGATTGCATAAAGTTTTTTTTGTTTTTAATTTGTTATTTCCTGATCCCCTTCGTTACAGAGCGCTGGTATTGCCCAAGCTGTGTTTCAATTCACTTTGAATTTGTTTTCCGAAGTAAATTAGTAAATATAATGTAATTTACATGTTCTTTATAGAAATAAATTGCAATTAAAATTAAATTCATCATTGTCTAAATCTCAAATTAAGAATGACTCCGTTCAAAATGACGATGGTCACAGCGCCTTTCACTTCGCACGCGCAAACAGAACACAGAACAAGTAACAATAAAATTTGATATTATGCACCTTATAATTAAGTTTCGATAAGGAGCATCGGTTATTGAAATTTAAATAAGAAACAAAACGGCGACACAAAATTGATAGCAATAGATTACAAGTAGCAAGCAGCACCTATACAACATAGCACTCTGTGGATGTGGCACTGAAAAATAATCAGCGTTTAATAATCCTTTTAGTTTAAATTGTCTACGTTCACGTATCATAAGTATTAAAAATAATCTATAGTGGAAAGGACAGAGGGTGCAAAAAAATAGAAGGCTTAAATGGCGTCGGGCAGGGTATATGGTTAGAGGAAAAGACAATAATGGAGCAAAATTGTGACACGATAGTATCCTAGAGAAATTAAAAAGAAAAGAGGTAGACCGCAAAAAGATAGGATGACGACATAAGACAAGTGGCAGGCGTTACATGGAACAGAGTGGCTCAAGAAAGACATGAGTGGAAAAGGTTGGAGGAGACCTTTGTCGATTTTGCAGGCGTCTCGAGCGCTATGTCGTAAGCGTATATGTCATTCTTCAAACGAGGCTTGTGGAGAGAATTAAACGCTATACAGCGGCTTACCTCTGCCCCTGGCATTGCTGACGTCCATGAGCGACGGTATCCACTCACCACCAGGTGGGCCGTATGCTTGTCAACCTGCAAGGGGAATAAAAAAAACCTCAATCGTAATGCCTCGTTGAGACAAAAGATAAAAGTGATACCTGCATCTCGTTTTTACCATCGCACCGAACGTCACCGGAGTAGAGTTCATCCATACTACCTGGAGCCACTGCGGTCATCAGTGCGTTTCCAGAAATCTTTTTTGCCACATACCATCCGGCTATGAAATGAGCTCCCCTCCACGGTGTTTCCCGAGCGCTATGACATGTCCTTCTTCAAACGAGGCTTGTGGGGAGTATTAAGCGGTAGGCAGCGGCTTGGCTTTACCCCTGGCATTGCTGAAGTCCATGGGCGACGGTAATCACTCACCATCAGGTGAGCCGTATGCTCGTCTGCCTACAAGGGCAAAAAAAAAATAGCTGTGTAGAAACTAATGTAATTAACCCCGCTAGTTGCCGATACTGAATGCAATCGGCGTCTATTCTTCAACAGGTCGCAATTTCAAGACATGTTTTTATTTTCCAATTGACATATTAATGGTATTTCGAAGTCGTCGTGGACTAAAGGATAGGAAACCCGTTGCATACGACCTGTGCCGGTATTCGATACTTGCAACAATTTTTCTAATTAAACACGTACTTATTAAATTCCAGAAATGAATTTCACGATGAAGGTATAACATAGTGTGACAAAAAATCAAACCCGCAAAAATTGTAATTTGCGTAATTAGTGGTGGTAGGACGTCTTGCGAGTCCGCACGGGTAGGTACCACCATCCTGCCTATTTCTGTCGTGAAGCAGAAATGCGTTGCGGCTTAAAGGACGGGACAGCCGTTGCAATATAAACGAAGACTTAGAAGTTATGTTTCGAGGTGGGTGGTGACATTTACGCTGTTGATGTCTGGTGATATTTTTTGCCGCTTTTCCCTGAAGTGTCGATGACTAGAACCTAATTTTGAATGATTTATTTAACAAAAAAACCTATCTGGAAAACGGTCGCACAGATGCATACATTAGACAAACTAATTATCATTTGAAAAGTTGAGGAAATCGGTAAATGACCTTATTGCTCTAATGCCGAGAAACAAGCCTTTGTTTCTCAATCTACAATGTCGTAAACAAAACAGACAGAGCGTTCACACTTCCAACATTTTTTTCGTTAAAGATTAAAACCAATTAGCATACTGAGTTTCTCGCCGCATCTTCTCAGTGGGTCGCGTTTCCGATCCGGTGGTAGATTCTGCGAAGCAATGCTCTTGCTAGGGTCATAGTAGCATCACTCCGGTTTGGGCCCCGTGAGCTCACCTACTAGTTAAGGTTGTGCTGAAATAGCCTCTCAAGGCTACCAGCTTAGATAGGAAAAAAAAAAGAAACGAACTATTCAAGTTTCAATGACGTCGTCTGTAACTTTATTCACGTATTTTATTCCATTTAACCACAACATTAGTGGACCTCTAATTTTACGGGCAAAAATTAGGCCACATCAATCACGAACCATTCTTAAATTAACCAAAACGAATACATTGCTACGTTCTTTGATGAAACAACAGCACACAACAGTCGTAACATTTCGCTAATTAATTTGAGAAGGTGAGTCACGTTCGCGCCCACCGTAGTATACCCAAATGGATTTAAACAGAATAATTGAATTAGGTTTGGGTCGCGTAATTGTCTTTTTTTACTAATCTGTGATAATTAACAATGACCTTCCTAAGTTTTCTTGCAGAATATGTCATATTTTGAAACTGTTAATAAAATGAGAATCAATGAATATAATTACCTACTCTCGAAAACATTAAATCTATATTTATTTAATAATATTTTAAGCGAAAGTTACGACGAATAATAGTTTCTATTTCCATATATCTCCGGTTTTGTAAGCGATGTTTGACATGCAAAAAATGTTATGCGTGTTCAACCATGTAGAATATAAAAATTGTGAACCACTTGGTCATATTTTTTTTATTGCCCTTGTAGGCAGACTAGCATATGGCCCACCTGATGGTTAGTGGTTACCGTCAGCCATGGACTTCAGCAATGCCAGGGGCAGAGCCAAGCTGCTGCCTACCGGCATATGGCACACCTCTCCAGAACTACTGAAGAAGTTGATGGTTTTCTTTTACTTACACTTAATATAAAGCTTAGCTTGGTAAGCGTATGGTTTGAAGAAATAATCGGACTGTACGTTAGAGGCTTTACGCTGCTGTTACAATATTGTCTGTTTGATTTAAAATAATTACGAATCTCTAAAAAATCTTTAAAATATCAATTTCGGTTCACAGGGTAGAAACGCACTGATCACATTATTTTACGAGTTGTTATCAGATTACGGAAATTATAAAAAATATAGTTGTACAAGCACATAAGCACATTAATGTATTTTTAGAGCGTATGACTTATGCTTTTGTTATTGTAGTGTTCGTCTTTATTGTGGTGAAGTCGGTACACCTTGTAAAATAATGTTTAAGAGAATAATCAACCGCTCACAAAAGAATTCACGATTGCATTCAATCAAAAAGTGAAATTAAACGATCATTGAAGTCGTCGTGGCCTAAGGGATAAGACGTCCGGCGAATTCGTGTTGAGCGATGCACCGGTGTTCGAATCCCGCAGGCGGGTACCAATTCCACGGTGAAGGAATAACATCGTGTAATAAAAATCAAACCCGCAAAATTATAATTTGCGTAATTACTGGTGGTAGGACCTCTTGTGAGTCCGCGCGGGTAGGTACCACCACCCTGCCTATTTCTGCCGTGAAGCAGTAATGCGTTTCGATTTGAAAGGAGGGGTAGCCGTTGTAACTATACTGAGATCAAGGTGGGTGGCGCATTTACGTTGTAGATGTCTATGGGCTCCAGTAACCACTTAACACCAGGTGGGCTGTGAGCTCGTCCACCTATCTAAGCAATAAAAAAAACATCAACAATATGTAACCTATTTTTTTTTTCAATTCCCAGGGCCAGCCTGCCCGTACGCACGGCGCGCTTACTTCAGCGTTCCCGCACTCAGACCCCGTCGGAGGGGGGCGTCAGTGATGGAAACGCGTCGCCCGCGCCCGCCTCGCTGCTCCAAGACGTGGTCGACATCAAGACACTGCTGCTGCAGCTTAAGCGGGTCTTACAGGAGGTACGATCTTTACGTTCAATTCAAGAAACGTAGGAACTGTGTGCTTAGTGCGAGTATTTTAACGTTCGCTCTCTTAAATTTGCGTTAACTTTTACGCTATCGAGAATGTTAAAAAACTCGCACTAAGCACACTGAAAATTATGCTAGTCTGTGTGCAGTTCTTTCATTTGTATAAAAGCAAGACTATATCAACAACAACCTATTACAAAAAAAAAATTAAGGAAATGAATAGTAATTTACTTGTCAAAAACATTGTGACAAAAAAAAAGTCGTATCTTATGGTATTCTACACATTAGTTCGATTAAAAGACCTTATAATACGAAGCTAATCAATAATCCTGTACTTTGGCCCTATAAGCGTTATGTCCAGTTACCCATTTTCGCTTGGGAAAAATCGCTCATTCCAATTTTATGGATTGTTTTAGGGTTCCCAAATTGTCGTTTAGAATGTGTAGCGATCTTTGCATGGATCTAGCATTGTTATGCCGTTTTGAGTCTTGCTGAAACAACCATTCTTGGTTATGAAATGTGACGTTATTAAGAGACGTAGCAAAATCCTGAAAAACTGCATCTCAGTACGCCTGAGTCGATGTTTTCATGCCCTTTCCACTAAATATTTCGATTACTCTTTGGTAGATCTCAAACCATAACTGAAACCCGACAGTCCTCACGTTATATCCCACTGATTAATACAGAAGCTACTGTAATACTTTGAGCATAAGCTCGATCATTCTGCTTGCTAAAATGTTGCTCATTAGTAAAAAGTTTCATAACTTTCAAACTTGCGAATTCCCTTTGCATACCGCCTAAGCAGTTTAATTTCACTTTTCCTATTAATTTTTTAATTAATGATCAAGTTGTGTCGGTTAAATGCATTTTATATGAGCCTATAAGTCCTAAGTTATGTTTTAAAGCACACACCGTCTGTCTGATTTAAATATTATTCTCTTAGCTAGGATTTCTTTGTTTTTTTTTATTCCACTGATTTGCTAGCCTTTTCTTTTTCTGTCACAAACAGAAATCGTTTCATTGGACTTATCAAAAGTCCGGTTCAAAAGCATTGGACTAATGGCAAGCAGATGAGGATTTCAAAATAGCATTGCGTTGGAACATATGAGCGAAAACGATCTCTTTTTACCCCTACTCCAATTTAACATTACAAGACTAGTTAACAAAGATAAACAGGAATATGAGAAAACACATTAAAAATAGGATGAAAGTTACCAAACAGAATAATGTTTTTGTTTGTAACAGTATCTGTGGGCTCTTCATTTATTCAAGTCATACTTACAAAAACAAAAAATTCCTTAAAATTGCTGATACATAATTATCATTTTAAAATGACACGCTACTGTGAAACGTTAATTCTGCTAAAATTCGAAGCTAAGCAATTTGTCATTAGATCAATGAACTGCCAAATCAAAGCTATTAATTAACAAATAAAAAGTATAAACATGAAAAATATATTTATTACTTAGCATATAGACTGCAGCTTTCTTTGTATTCTTTGAAATAACATTATCTGTTTAATTTCCAAAATTAGCAAATCGCAGTAAACAGAGAAACTACAATTTCTAATTTAAAAAAAATGAATTAATTTGCTTACAATTTACATATTTCCGCATTAGTTGGTTTGTTGTTGATAATCATATAGCATGTTTCAATAGTGTAATTAATGTATGTGCACATTTGTGTAATGAATTCATTAGAATTGTTTTGCTTTTCTATTTTTTCTCTTTACAAATTACAGTAGCACTTTATTTAGAATAATTAGAACGCTAAAACCTCGAGATCTGGTTTCATTTATTCCTAATTATTTAAATTAATTATGTGGTTGCCTAACCCAAAAATTAGCCTTTTATTGCTTAGTAGGTTTAACGAGTTCCTATCCATCCATCACCTACGTGATGTTAACTGGTTACCGGATCCCATAGACGAGATCAGCAACGTAAAATCCGCCGCCCACCTCGAGATATGAATTCTAAGTCTCAATAAATAAACAGAAACTAGTATTAATCAACAAAAACCAAGGGAAACTTAACCTAATTGCGTTCATGAATAAAGAATGCACAATATCCACTCGTACGCGTAAATACCTACCTCTTACTAGTTCTGTCTATTAATGTCATTGTAGTTATCGAACGTTCTGGATGGGGTAGGATTATTGCATTAAATCCATGTGAGTTCGACGTCGTGTCTCAAGGTTTTTTACTGGTGGTAGCACCTCTTGTGAGACCGCGTGGGTAGGTACCACCACCCTGCCTATTTCTGCCGAGAAGCAGTAATGCGTTTCGGTTTGAAGGGTGGGACAGCCGTTGTAAATATGCTGAGATCTTAGAACTTATATCTCAAGGTGGGTGGCACATTTACGTTGTAGATGTCCATGGGCTCCAGTAACCACTTTACACCAGGTGGGCAGTGAGCTCGTCCACCAATCTAAGCAATCAAAAATAAGGTGAGCGTCGGTATTCATGTGTTATTAGTGAGCATCCGTGTATACCTATTTTACTAACAATAGAATGTTATTATTAGTTATTTACAATAGCATATGAAACCTAATTTATTATCCCAAGGTACCCACCTACTTTAGTTAATTCATACATCTCACCGTACCCAATCATTTCAGCATCTTGAGGGTTGATTTTGTAATGTTTATTTTAACGATTTCAAAGAGTGGACACGTCAATTTCGATCGGTATTTTCTTATTATTATTAAACAATGAATGTTTATAGATACTAGAGGTCCCGCAGTAGTCGAAATTCGACTATAAATAATTGGAATTGTAAGTTTGTACACTATTATGATTGTATTTTATACTTCTATAATCACAAATTTCGCCAAGACTACACTATAAAAAATATTAACAAAGACAAACAATATTTAATCTATTCTCAGTATTTCTCAGTTTGACTCTGTTGTCAAGAACAAAAGTTTGACAATAAATAGTATGCATGCATGTGTGCGTCAAATACATGGTATGTAGTGTGTGTAATGTTTTCTTTATTAATTTAATGTATCTTTTATGCATTATTTAAAAAAAATATTAGCATTGTGCACTTCTTCTCTATATTCTCTATAAGTGTGGAGAATTTCATACTCCTCCGTCCGCGCAATTTTCGTAAAAAAGGATACAAAGTTTTTGCTTCACGTATTAATATATAGATTGTCGATATTCAAAATTGGAACTCGGTAATGTTATTTAACGAAAATATACTGAAATTCATGTGTCTGCTCGTCGTATAGTTAGAGTATTTTTAATGTTTGCTTGTATTTAGGCAAGTTTTGTTTGCGTGTTGTAACGTTGTCTGTTTGGTTGCATTCGCCTTGTTCGCCGCACGCAGCCTGGGGAGGAGCTTCATTCGATGAGTGTAAGTAACACCCGAAGGACTGTATATCACTTTGCAACCGTAGCATACCACAATCATGAATGGAAAGCGGTAGGCAGCGGCTTGGCTCTGCCCCTGGCATTGCTGAAGTCCATGGGCGACGGTAACCACTCACCATCAGGTGGGCCGTCTGCCTACAAGGGCAATAAAAAAAAATAAAAAAACAATAAACGAAGCATTCAATTTTAGAAAGCCGAACTTAAACAGTTTTTTCGGTTCTGAAGCGATATACAGGACGAGACTGGATGCATCGCAATTAAAGATAGAAAAGAAAGAAAAAAACTATATAGTAACATTTATTCTGAATGAAAAGTGAAAAACTTGTTTTTGTTTTGTTTAAAATAACCAAAGACTCCGCAATCAATGATTAGTTTAATAGTTTGTAATATCTAAATTTTAAATGAATTATTAAGATATATTTCATTCAATTCATTTCAATGTAAGTAAACATTATTAGCAAAAAATTATCCTTTCATTCTTTTGTCACTTAAGGAAGGCAGTTCTTGTTGAAGTTGAAGAGTTAGAGAGTTACCACATAGTTTAGATTTCAACTTCATCTCTCAAAGTGAGGGGCAACATTCAAATTGTATTCCTTAAAAGTATATTTAAATTTTTATACTAGATAAACGCATAAAACAAATTGAAATATCATTATGACCCTCGTTTTTCACTTTTCACCGATGTTTAATAAATAATATATGCACTAAATCAGTTTCTGTTATTTCTACCATATGAAAATTACAAAATATTATTGATTGCGACACTGCGACGTATACATTCGTGGAACATAATATGAAATGGTTTACTGCATAAAACAATATTGCTGTATCCACTAATCAATCAGGCTTGAAGCACTCACTCGATTAATAACATTTTATTTTCTTTACTGATATAATATGTGTATTTTATTTTCAACTTTATGTCTATCTATCAGGGTTTAAGATACCCTATCTTAAAGGGGAATAACAGGTATTCTAAAACAAAGTCCGCCACAGACTCCGCGCATCCGGCACATCATATTGAACGTTGACCCCACCTATCAACGATATCTAATTTTACATACATTGCGCGCATTGCAAATACCGACATAGCATCTTCTAGCTTTTATGATTCTAAATATCATAAGTTCCTCCCTAATCTGTATTAATAAGTGCAAATCGTCGTAAATTAATGTATAATAATAGTAAATTCCGTTTATTTTCAATTGATAATTTCATACATAGTACTTTTCTAAATATTATATGTTAAATTCTCCTTTTTCTCTACTGAATACTAAAAGAGTATGCTAGTTTTCGAGGTTCAATTAATAAAGATTTTTTTAAATTCTTTATTAGAGCTATACACCTATTAGGTTAAGTCGGAAAGATTTTGTATTTAAATTAGTTTTGGTGAATTTTAGAGCGAAACTCTCGACCCGTTGCTAGCGGCGTGCGCGGAGAGCCCCGCGCGCGGCAACGGGCGCCGCCCCCCCGCCTCGCCGCTGCACCCGGACGCTTGCGCTGAGATGCGCCGACAAATTATTTACTTGCAGGTAATTAATGGGTTTTATACACTTCAACAACACAGCAACCGACGCCTAAACCAAACCACTAGGACTATCTTGTCCAAAAATATTTTCCAACAAAAATTTTTACTACTTAATTGAAAAGTTGCAAGTCATTCCCGACGCAGTTGTTTCTTACAACTTATCCGGAGGCCTCAACCACATCCTCTCCTGCTTCAGTCGAGCGCTCATTGATAAGCATCGTTTTGCGATCGCCTGTGACGTTTTCTTGTGATTTTGTCAGTGGCACAGTGAGGTGCCTCGCTCAATCTCGTGTCCAGGTGCTCGGACACTTGATCACTCCATATTTTTTGTCTCCGACCTCTGGATCGTTTTCCATCCACTTTACCCGTCACATATTGCGAATAAAAATCAATAAATCATTATTGTTTTTAAATTACGAATTACACGAGTTTCTTCTTTATCAACCACGTGGTCCGCTATCCGTTATTGCTCATACCTGTCAATTAATATGCAGTTAATCTCAGAGGTTATCCGAGTTGCACAGCACGCCGTCTGTCACGCGTCCAGTCTCATAACTTTCCCAGATAAATACAATGTTGACGAAATGATGTAATTGCGAGTCTATTATAAAGTTGAACTTTGAACTGGATTACACACACTTAAGTGATGTTTTTTATGATGTCACGAATAACAAATTTTATAGCGATGGTAGGTACAGCGTGTTTTAAACTCAAACGGGCTATCTGCAGAGCATTACTTGCGGCTAATTTCAATAACCTATCTGTCCATCGTTCGGGTTACTAAAGATAAACAAATCAATCGTTTTGTCTGTACTTTCTTTTGCAATTCAATGATCCCAAATAGATTTGCGTACCCAAGTAGATTTTGGTAAATTATTTTCAATGAAGCGACGACTATCTCTATCTCTCTTCTTCAAGCTCTGTTCACCTAATGTCTAAGGTCATTTAATATGCACTCCATTATTTTCGGTCTCTTGCCTTACCATCTATTTTGACCAGGTCATTAGTCCATCTCATTGGTTGTCTGCCCACGTTACGACGTCCAGTACGAGGTTTCTACTGCAGTACTTTTTTTCCCCACCAATTGTCAATGCGATGGCTTATGGGCCGGCCCACTTCCACTTTCTCCGAGCAAACACTTTGGCTATGTCATATATAATTTGGTGACAATTAAAGATGATGTATAATTGTAATCGGATGTAACGTTACAGGGTCAGCTAGAAGAAAGGGACCGATTGGTACGCGTGCTGCAGTTACAAATGTTGCGTATGGCCGAAAGCCACGAGCCTCGCAGCGACGACACATGCAACGTCGCCACGCAGACCGACCGGGTAGCTATATACATAGATACCTAGCTCTGTTGTGCTTTTACCTATCTACAGAAGCCACGTGGAGCTATTCTGGCTTTATCTTGATCGGTGGACGAGTTTACTGTTTTACGAGTTTTTTACTGGTGGTAGGACCTCTTGTGAGTCCGCGCGGGTAGGTGCCACCACCCTGCCTATTTCTGCCGTAAAGCAGTAATGCGTTTCGGTTTGAAGGGCAGGATAGCCATTGTAACTATACTGAGATCAAGGTGGGTGGCGCATTTACGTTGTAGATGTCTATGGGCTGTGAGCTCGTCCACCCATCTAAGCAATAAAAAATAAAAAAGAGTCCACGTGGCTTAGCCTGAGGCAATTTGGTAATATCAGCCCTAGCAAGAGCAGTACCTTCGTGAATGTAACGCCAATCAGACTCGCAAATAATTATAAAATCCCAGCAAGAAGTCGTTTAAGGCGCACATCGGACTCTTTACCGTATGCGAAGAGTTCAACGAGAACGGTGCTTGAATTACCTAAAGGCACTGAGAGTGGATAGGCAAGATGCGCTTAGACGTTAAGGGTTACGGCGGCTTTTCGTTGCCCCGTCGTCGTCTGGATCTGGAATGTCTGTTATGTGTATTATGCACTATATTCTATTCACGGGGGACGCATTGAAATAATGCCGTATTTTGATTTGCTTCACTCGCTATTAAAGTATAGGTAATAAATCTCAAAAAAAAAATTATTTGACATGAGATCGTTTTTGAGGACGAATCTATTATTATACCCTGGCATGAACGCCACAGTCATAATGCTGAGCAGGCACATAGCCATGTTCTTCTTCGAAAGAATTTTCAAAATAGCCCTTAAAGTGATTGGAGCAGGGTCGGGGTAATTAAATTAAAACTAAGATTCATTGTAATTTGTGGGCTACGATAAGGATAGTTATATGCGTAACGACAGTAATGCCAGATGATCCATTTTTAGTTTGATAACACTATTGTTAGACGTCACCTACTTAAGCAGGAAAGTATTAATAAGGATAAGTGTTAATATTTGAACAGATTGCGAAGAGTCTGTCTGTGGACTTACCGACTTATTTAATTACAATACTATGTTTGCGGTTATGTATCTGTGAATCATACATATGTAAATAACATGACCAAAAAAAACTTTTGGAGTTGAATATCGTGTTTAATGTTTCTATGATACAATTTCCAACGTTATGATGATAAATAAATACACATTTATAGAAACTGCAATTTGAAAATTATGTTTATTAAATTAATTTACACTTTTTTTATAGGTTAGATAGGTGGATGAGCTCACAGCCCACCTGGTGTTAAGTTGTTACTGGAGCCCATAGACAACTACAACGTAAATGCACCGCCCACCTTGAGATATAAGTTCTAAGGTCTCAGTATAGTTACAACAGCTGCCCCACCCTTCAAACCGAAACGCATTACTGCTTCACGGCAGAAATAGGCGGGGTGGTGGTACCTACCCGTGCGAACCCACAAGAGGTCCTACCACCAGTAAAAACGTAATTGGCGTCCGAAAGTGATTCCAGGCACTTCAGATTTGATTTATTGTCAATAATTTTCAGCTCCGACCACCAATGAGCACCACACTAACGAGTTCTGACAATTCCGGATTAGTGAGGTAATTAATTCAGTCTATTTATATATTCAATTGTACCGATCATCATAATTAATAAATTAATTAACAGTTGCGTAATGTGTATTCCTTGCAGCACACTTCTCTGAATACACACACGCTAAATATGTACGTAAATATGTATTATTTTCATGTTATAGTATATACGTATGTATATATTACTTATTTATTGTTTTAGGTTTATCTTCACATCGTTAAAAACGTTTATGAGAACATTACATTCGACCATGACAGTTTTGTACATTGCTCCCATTACACCTACGAACTTCATAACATACAAAGATAAATGTACCTCGTTCGTAGTCGATACAATATCAAAGACAAAGTATTTTGCTACTGAACTAAGCAGATCTGAATGGATCGCCACGTTCAGAGATTACATGAACAAAAAAATGACGCTAGCTCCGACATCAATGTATCAGATCACTCTAACTCTATCACCCTACTTCACTGGTATTTTCATTTGACATTTTAACAAGGACTTTTTGGCGGGAATGCGAGGAGTGAAGTTGTGTGATTTGTTTTATTTTGTCTATTTAGTGTTTCATCAGGTTTAAATGTGTAATAACGGTGGTTTATTAACAATTTAATATCTGTGAAAGTGCACAAATGTGGGAAAATGAAACAAAGACGCTGGACGGAACTTCTCGGGATCCTACAAAAAGTCCACTGAAAAAATTTCAGTAAATGACCACCATTTTACTGAGATTATATTTAATCCCATATAATCTCATATCATTTCATTTCACTCCATATTGTCATTTTTCATAAAAATAAGAATATAAATTAAAATAAGACATGACTTAAAGGTCTTAGTTACCAGGTCATAAAATCCCTTAAAAAAATATATTTTACCAATCAATATATTCCGTATATATGTTTATTTATTATTGTCACTCAGTAGAAAGCGCTCGTCAATATCATAAGTCAATCCGATGTTCATTTTGTTTTAATCCCTCACATGCTGCTTTAAATTATGATCGGGACTTGATCAAAATTCGCGAAATTATTTGGATCGGTGACGCGCGGCAGTTTCCATCTCGGCGGTCCGAGAGTTCGTCCGTCGGATCAGGTAGCGTGGCTCGACTGTTTGCTCGCTGTTTGTCTCTTGTGTTCGGTCAATGTGTTGTGCCTATTGCATCTCTTGTACAGTACTACGGACGAGCCGAGCTTACACCGCGAGAGGCACTACAGCGAATATTGTTGCAGGATTGACTGATTGCATTGCCCTCGTTTTAAGCATTATGGTGCTAATAGTCAGAGGCATGATTTTTGGCGACTTGTAAACAGCATTGATATTTAAAACCGACATAATTGGCTTCTAGTGAGTTTTTCGTGTTAGTTTTGACGTAATGGAGTTTTTTTGTTTTTTGTTTTTGTAATATAAGTTCCTTATTAACGTTTAATTTGTATTGTAATACTTGATTGTAATTTATATATGTGTTACACGCTGCCACTTTAGAACGTAAAGGTGAGATTTTGGAAACGTTCCTAACATTAATTAAAAAATTCTGATTTAAATATTGTCACTGAAACGTAAAAATAAATTAAAGCTAAAAAAAACAACTTATCTTTTAAAATATTACGTACATATGATGTACCTGTTTCATTTAAGCTATTTATAATTTAATTCGTGTAATCTCTCCCTACAGTTGGAATGAACAAGCTAGTACGAGGAAGCTGTCGTCACTTAGTGAAGCACAAAAGTCTAAGAGACCTGTCACCAACGGGACCGTAAAGTGTCAGTGCGGCGCGAGACAAGCGAACGGGCTCGCCAACGGAGACGACGTGCACACGGACAGACGGACCGACTCCGTGCACTTGCGTACTAACAGCCGCGTCGGCACTAAATACCTGCAAGCTCTAGCCGGCAGCACAGACAAGCGCTACATCAAACGAGACTCTTCTCTCGGCGAGAAATCCGAACGAAAACCCTCTCTGTACACGGCCAGGTCGCGCTCCATCGAGAACTTCCACAACCAGCTCACGACCGCAGACAGGATCACTAAACAAATCGTAATAGAGGAGATGCCGCTCGTCAAACATCACACGTCGTACGGAGACCTGTACACCGGCAGGATTAGCAGCAAGGAGAGCGTGAACGGCAGCAGACGCAGCCCTGGCCTCACGGGGCAGTCCACCGACACCGACTACAGCTCGGATGGCGGCTACAAGTCCCTACCCTCGTCCATCAACTGCAGCACCTCTCCTAAGAAGGTGAGCGGCATCCCAAGGAGATCCATCGAGCAGAAGATTCTCTCGACAAAGCACGTAAAAGCGAGCGCCATTTGAACACAAGACGCTGTGCAACTGTGATACGTCGCGGATCTCATACCCTGTCACGAATATTTGTTGTTTCATTGCGACTCTATGCCCGTTCCCCCAATAGTTAATAACCATTTTGACTTCAGTCTGCTTAGTGCGAGTTTTGTTAATGTTCTCGATAGCGTAAAAGTTAATTTTGTATGCAGTTGGAACAGCGTCCCTAACGGCAAACGATCCCATTCCATACAAATATGAGCTAACTTTTACGCTATCCAGAACGTTAAGAAACTCGCACTAAGCACACAGATATCAAATCTATATAAATAGACACATTGTAAGCTCACAAGCAAGCCCCAAAGTGGTTACCATCAGCCATTGATAATGAGTTAATGCTTTTTGTTTTAAAATGAAATACCTATAAGACGGTTGTGTGAAGTCTCGATGTAACGTGATTGTAGAATCGCCGGTCCGTCTGCGGTCACATTGAGAGCGATAAGCCACAGCAACGCTTGCTCGCAAATACATCAACTCGTCCTGAAGCTAAGCTATAGCTTACTATATAACTTAATGTACCTTTAGTTGATCGATGCCAAATTATCGATGTTATAATCTGACGTTATGAACTAATTTCCACAAAAACTAATTATGACGTGAAATGTTTTAGTCATTTCTTAATTTATTCTTGTGCATTTTTTTTTTGTTTGTAACGTAATTCGAACTGTACCAGAGTTAATGACGAACAAACAAACTAATTTTCATAGAATCAATTTAATAATATGTATACAGGCCGATAAAAATGTTATCTTAGATTTTCTATGGTAGACAAATTAGTAGATAAAGCTGTTATGTGATAAGTGTGGCTGTAAGAACGTGTATTTAATTTCTATATCTTCCTTTATTGACATAATGATTTGTGTATTTAAATGTATTTGACCTAATAATGTAATCTTTGGTATTTTTTTCGCCAAATATACTTATAATTGTTGTTTAGAATCCTTTAGGTATCGAACAGGTACAAGTATCAGCGTATTTAATGAATTTCGTGTCGTAGTGGAAATCGCGTATTTTTCTGATGTATTTATCGAGTTCACAAACTTTATTCGTCTTAATAAAATCTGCGCCTAAAACTTACCTAATGTTGATACCTAGATTGAATTAAATATATAATATTATTATGTACTTATGGCTATATACCAACACGTTATATTGCGCTTTCCTATGTTAGTTTCGTAAGATATAAGCCAGTTAGCTTTAGTGATGGTTATATTTCATTTTGGAATTGAAGTTGTTTCAATAAATGATTTTAATTTTGATTTATTTATTTAATGTTTCTCCCATTTATATACGAGCAAAAAAGTTAATAATTTCCTAAAATATTACATGTAAAATAAAAATAATCCTCTGAAGGAAAAGTTCAATCTTCTTTCTTATTTTTTTTTTTTTATTGCTAAGGTTGGTGGACGAGCTCACAGCCCACCTGGTGCTAAGTGGTTACTGGAGCCCATAGATATCTACAACGTAAATGTGCCACCCACCTTGAGATATAAGTTCTAAGGTCTCAGTATAGTTACAACGGCTGCTCCACCCTTTAAACCGAAACGCATTACTGCCTCACGGCAGAAAATATCCTCTAAAAAAAATTTTATATATATCTATATATATAAAAATGAATTGCTGTTCGTTAGTCTCGCTAAAACTCTAGAACGGCTAGACCGATTTGGCTAATTTTGGTCTTGAATTATTCGTGGAAGTTCAGAGAAGGTTTAAAAGGTGAATAAATATGAAAATGCTCGGAATTATATAAAAACAAACAATTTTGTTTTTTCTTTGATTCGGATTTGATTGAACGGATTCCTTTTGTTTTTTTTTAAGTTTATTTTATACAAAATCGATTGAGGCGCTACGAAGTCTGCCGGGTCAGCTAGTCAAATAATACAAAAATTTATAAAAAAAGAAAATAAAAATAAGATCTCATCATTGTAGTCGAAGTCTTTTAAACACGCATTATTAGAGATAACAAATGGAGGTTAGCTGCTACTACATATAAAAACAAAAGAATCGTCAAAAAACGGTTCAACTAGAAAACAATTCTGAGGTAAAACACACAAAAAAGTTGATTTTATAACCTCTTCCTTTTTTTGAAGTCTGTTTTATACTGGTAAATGACAAATTTAATCTAAGTTGAAAATAAATGATATCTTAAGCAAATATACAGATATCATTCTGATAAGGTTTCTTTTATTTCCAGAATCCAAAAATTACTTGAATCTACACTAGATTGAAAACGCTGCCTAATTAAATCTCGATAACTACATTTCTATAATTTTACGTAATCAAAAACAAAACATTTCAAATCACGTATTTGTACAAAAAACTAGATCGAGGTTACCGTAAAACATCCCTTGTTGTACTAGATAAATGTACATTGTTATTGTTAGTGTTTACGCTTGAACCTTGGTCGTGATGATAAGCGCGGGAATCGAATACACTGAAATAATTCGACCAGGGCTGGCCGGCTATCACTCAATGTCCGAAGACCGAATGAGCCGCACCGCTCGGTCAGTTTAACACCGCGAGTGACCGACTCTACTAACATTATCACAATTATAATGCTTTAAAAAAACAAATTAGGGCTGTGCGTATAAATATAACGGTAAGTTTTTTTATACTTTCATTTAAATGCTGCGAGTGAACAGAATATCTGAATATCAATTGTAAACACTATGTTTATTTGATGTGAGATTTTAATCGATATTTCGAACTCGAATATTATTGAAAACATTCATATTCATTTAAAGTATAATATTATTTAAAAGTATAGTATTATATTATTATATATAGTATTATAATATAAATTGATAAAGTATTGTTTGAAAATTATTAACAATTAAAAGTTTTTGTTTACTAAAAGTGCTGTGTATATATTTAACAATATTGTGTAATTAATAGGAACATTACGTACCTATACAATCAACGCTTACTCTGAGCGACGGTTTGATAGAATGTTATCGAATACTGCAGGGTCAAAACAGATAGTCAAAGTCAAGACATGTGTCCGCATTTACGATAAAATACTGAATTTAAAGTTCGTCGAAAATAATTAGGTAATGTACATAATTAGAGTACAATTTTAATTAAAACAGGTTTAATGTCCCTAGTTTGGTTGTGTATTAATTGAAGCAGCGCAAATAAATCAGATGCCCTGAACTAAGAAGGACCTTAACGAAAAAAGTAACAACTTTTTGAACTACTATATTTCACTGCACTATGTTTTCATAGATAATGTATGGCGATTTTGTTTTTTATCTTTTTGTATTCGTTTGTGGCATTGTGGTCGCCGAGCGCTAAGAAAATAAAGAATGAAAACAGACTTTCTCCGGTCGAAAGCGCGGCAGCGAAAGTAAATTGGTCAAGTGAAGAAGCTGTAGCTCCCAAAAGTGAAAAAAAAAAGAAAACACCAAAAAGTTTTTAAGGAAATATCTTTCGTAATTCATGTCTGATATTAGTACAGTAGAACCTCGATAAATATAGATCAAGTGAAACGTTAAATAATTTGAGTTACATACTGAGGTTTTTACTTACTAACGGTTTAAGTTAAGAAGGTTTTATTGGTTTATATTTTTACTTAAAGAGATCCTTCTTTTTTTTTATTGCTCTGATGGGTGTACGAGCTCACGGCCCACCTGATGTTAAGTGGTTACCGGAGCCCATAGACATCTACAACGCAAATGGCACCACCCACAGTTCTAAGGTCTCAGTATAGTTACAACGGCTGCCCCACCCTTCAAATCGAAACGCATTACTGCTTCACGACAGAAATAGGCAGGGTGGTGGTATCTACCCGCGCGGACTCACAAGACGTCCTTCCTAACACCAGTAAAAGATTTAGATTCGTTTATGAGCTTTGTTTAGGAATTATAGAGATAGACGAGATAGATTAAATGCAAATGAAGATTTGAAATGTGAATACATACATATATATGTACTTTATTTTATGATTAAAGGTACGTTTATTGAACTTTATTTTATTTTACATAAAAAAACACTGAAATATTTTTGTTGTTTCAAACAATTCACACTTTCTACATCAATTTTATTTTCAATATTAAAATATTAATAAAGAAGAGAAAACACCATCATTTGTGTTACTGCATTGCTCTATAAAAGATCGTGAAACACTTCACTATCTTTTATAGCTTTCCTTGCTTCGCTGATAGATAAAATAGGTGAATCTTGTGGTTCGTCATTTAAACCTTCGTCTATATCATCAAAAACTCTTGCATTAGTTGCCTTCAACTCTAAACTAAGGGCAGGCTTAGGGACTCCGGTAACCGTAATCGTCGAACTCGGCAATGAGAAACTCTTTGCCGAGTTCGACGGGCAACCTAAGCCATGCATCAGCCAGCTGAGTTTCTCGCCGGATCTTCTCAGTGAGTCGCGATGCGCTCAGGCAGGTGTTAGCAAATCCCACCCCTCCTGGCTGAGCCTTTGCTCGCCCACCTGTCCTGGTGAAACAGGAAAGGCAACCGGGCCACCAGTAATCTTTCGTTCATAAAAAAATAAATATGTTATCGTACCTTAGTATATTATTTACATTTGAAGCCAGTTGGTAAACACGTGTACCTAAGCGTAGTAGTTTTGCGGTAGGCAGCGGCTTGGCTCTGCCCTTGGCATTGCTGAAGTCCATGGGCGACGGTAACCACTCACCATCAGGTGGGCCGTATGCTCGTCTGCCTACAAAGGCAATAAAAAAAAAAAGCACCTCGAGATTGTTCGTAGTACCTAGTATCTCGATGTGTAAGCATTAATAATGGTGTACAGGGAGCCTTTTTTGTTTGCACATTCATTTACAAAGACTCATTGATATATGATTGAAGTTACAATGATCGTCGTCGTTACAACTTTGAGTTACTTAGGTGTAATGCCCAAATTCTTTGAACTTATAGAAAGTTCATATCTTAAGTAAAAGACGAGAAGAGGTTATGGACTCCGCGGGGAAGGGAACACAAAATTTTATGAAAATACTCGTGAATATAGAGGTTATTACGTTATCGAAGTTTAAGTTATCAAGGCTCTATTATAATTTTACTATTATATTTAAAAAAAATCAACATTGCAAATAAATATGTTTCATATGGTATCACCATACTTTTATAGTTTTATAGGCTGTGGTTATACAAGAAACATCGTTAAAAATAAGTGGTTTTCACCACCATAAAATGATCACCATAAAAATAATTTAAATGCTCGCAACTTTGATATACCTACACGTGTACATAATCAAAGGATCGCAAGGAATAAATGAGAAAAAAATGATCACCTCTGAGGATCTTAACAACAAATATCCAGATATCCATATGATTAATTCAAATACAAACACGACCTCCGCGAGGTACTGTTTTATAATACTATGTATGCCCATATTTGCGTATTTTCCTACCTAATTCAAATTTCGTATCACGATTCTGCAGTGAGCAAAGCATAAATTTTTTACCGACTTTGAAGGCAGGCAAATGCTTGTTTGTTTTCAATTTTTAGGTTTTACATTTAATTTTTTTTTGTTATTACCTTTCCTTTTAAAGACTAGAACGATCGGTCGATGTAATAATATACTTTAATATTATGGGCCAAGATTGTCTGTGATATTCTCGTTGTGGCAACAATGGGCTGGTAGAACTGAACTTGCCTAACTTCGTTAATATTATATAATAATTTCTTGTTTATTATAAACAAATCGAACTATATATATTTTTGGATTGTTATTGCATTTCTGCAATTTTGCCTTGTCAGCGTTATTGCGTCATGAATAGATTTCCGCATAATAAGCATATCATTTCTGAACAAAAACTTAAGAAACGAGGTCGCATATGTAATTAAAATAGGTAAATTAATTTATTAAATGTGGAAAAGACCAAGATTGTGTTATTGTTAAAATTGAATGAGAAACTCAATGAAATACAACTCGTTTAAATGATGCAAATATTTAACAAACAACTTATATTGTAGTTTAACTCAAAAGGTTTTGTTATATTTTCTGCTTACGTAAATATTTTTTGAGCTTTGCGTAAAATTCTTATAAACATAAAACAGATACGAACTTTGGTTAGACGGTGTACCTACCAGTGATAAGAACGGGCGGTATGAAAATAAATTAATCCACATTAGCATTGAGGGTAGTCAGTAGTCGTAGCAAAATTTTGTTGTTTCTATTCGATGGTTGGGGATGGTTCACAAAAATGTTTCCCGCTTGTGATTTACAAACTTAATTTAAAGAGATCTGAATCATTTGATAATAGCAAACACAAAATTTAATATTAATTACTTTCCACAGTATGAGTTCTTGATAGTATGAGTTTTTATGCTATCCGATAGCATTTAGATGCCGATAGATTTTGGGTAAAAAACACGTTTTCGGCAAACGTGTTATGATGATGATGCCTTGGGTGTACTTACAATACGCCATACGATAAGTAAATGGTAGACGATCACAATACGCCACTGCCTATTTTCTGGTGAAACCACTGGAAGAAATCAGGTGAAGAATACTTCCGACTTACGTTAAAGTGATTCTATACGAAACCTTTAGTTTAGTTACGGGAGAAAGTCCGCGTCTAAATACTTAAATACTAAGTTTAAATACTATGCTCAAAGTCAATAACATTTATTATAGCCGTATTTAGATGAAAATTGTCTAACAACCCATAAATCACTTCGTTATAAAGCTTGGTGTACCTAAATAGTAACCTAATAGATTTTCGTATTTGCAACACTATCACGAATACCGACTGCTAAGGGACTTATACTATTTATAGATAAATATTATTTCTAACGAGTTATCTTTATTATTTTATAATTCTTTCGCCATCATTTATCGCCATTAATTTATAGCTGAACCGGAACTTGATTACTTTTATTCAATGTACAAAGTATATAGCACATTTTGTTTGGTGATTTGAAACATTTTTAGAATTATGTGTTGCCAACGCTCTGTGTCAGCGAAACGTATTTTCATTGAAAGGTTATGAACAGGATATGTTTAGCAGTTTTTGGGTTGGAAAAGTTTACCGAATTCTCAGTAATTCAAAAATCAAACGACACGTTCTAGTTTCGATATCATGCTGAGCGTATCTCTTCCCGTAATATTTTGAAATGTTCAATTCAGTTATATATTATGTACTAAGGTATATTGCAGTTTGAATATTCGCAGTGTGCGTAAATTACTAATATTTTCCTAGTTTTATACACTATAGAACTGAAGCTTTCTTCTTTGACTTTTGTGACGCGACGAAATACCTACCCGAAATGGAAACGAAAATAAAATATTTACGTAAAAAGAACATAATATTGTAAACAATGCTGTAGTAAGGCAACATAAAGACCTCTATTGTATTAACTTGAGACAATAGTACCCTCATGTCCAGAGAATGCTAAACATCAACATTAGCAAACAAATCTCAGATAAACACAACATCTCGCGAAAGTTTTTTTGGAACGAAGTTCCTTATCGCGCGTTGTGAAAGGGGGCTAGGCGGAAAAAATTCTTACGAAAAGTTGTCACGACACTTTTTAGATCCGTCATTCTGACCAATCAACGTGTAGGCGCTTATCGCGTGACATTGCTCGTATCCGATTGGTCTGCGTAATGAGTACAGTTTCTCGAGATAGCGTTTCAACAATAGTAATTTAGTTCATAGTATTGTTTTTTCTTCTTCATAATACCGTAATTTATTATTATAACTTTAAAAAAAATTTACAATTCCTTCACTAATTAATCGAAAGGAACTTCGTTCCATCCGGGTGTCCCTTGACACCTCTGAAATTTTTGTGTTAGGGTTTCAGGAAGAGATATCAATGTATAAGACTCACAATCTTTGTTTCCAAATAATTAATACAACGAACTTTATGACGGTTTTTGTTATTTATAATTCAGAAAAATTGAATATGAAATTTGAATAAAAAAAGTGACAATTTTAAAGCGATCGATTTAAGCTTCATTAGAAACTTTTTTCTAGCAAATAATATAATTAATTTTCTATGAATACCTTATCGATATACTTACTGTTATAAAACCTTAATAAAAATTCAATTCTGCTTTTTAAAGATCTTATGAAATTTTTTTTGCGACAAGAACTAGGTACTTTGATTTTGATAAAATTTAGTTTTTTGTTAAAGGAATAAGCAATTAAAACATCACACCCTGTATAAGCTCCAATGAACTGTGATACAACATACTTTATGTATATGAGACAATTAATTTTCTTTACAGCAATCATCAATAATAATACCGCAGTTCACACACATACCGAAAACATGTCTAAAGAAATGGCGGCGCCGAAGAGGACTGTAGGTCAGAGAATTGTGGAGGAAATATACACGTGTTGTGCTTTCTGGATAGCTGCATCCGCTTTACCGGCCTTGGCGGTGTCTTATCTCGGTAAGCCGTTAGATATTCCTACATACTATTAGAATTCGTAGCGGGTAAGATAGTCCAGTATATCCGTTTGGAAAACCTTTTTTTTTTCATACGACGAATTTAGCAGGTTATCAAGATCTTTAATTTTTTTTAAAGATTATGTGTACTTTGCATTTCTAAAACTTTGTACGCTGTGTAATATAAGATGCTTTGTATGTACAATTTAAATAAAATTACTATATAAAGTGATTACCGCTGAGGAAGGTTAATGAACTTTATCACAACTGATAAAATTTCGCAAAAAAATGTAGTTGAAATCGAACGTTGTCATGTCGAAATCAATGAGTATGTATTCGTGTGGCTCGTGAAAATAAAACTTTTATCATCGCACCTCTTGCCACCGGTGCAGAGTTCATACACTTAACCTAGAGCTACTGCGTTCATCGTGAGTTCGTTTCCAGAGATCTTTTTGCCACGTATTAGCCGGCTCTGAAATGAGCTCCACACTACGGTGTTTCCAGATCTCTATCGCATATCGTTCTTCTAACGAAGCTTGTTTAGAGTACTCAACGGTAGGTAGCAACTGTAATCAGTCACCATCAGGTGGGCCATATGCTCCTATTATATGGATATACAATGGCCATAAAAAACCTTGCTTCTAGACTGAAGCCTCTGTAACGTAATAAGACGCAATGAGTACCCAATGAAAATATAACTGTACCGCGGTTCAATCTTAGGGCAGTCAATAATATTTAAAGAACTAATGCCTTATGTTCTTGTTTTTAATTGTCATCGAACGCTGCCTGTCCGAAATGAAATTTGAGAATAGTGTCTCTTATAAGCGCTGACAATGCCATGAACTGACAAGCACGATGGTATGTGGCGAAAACTTTCTCTTGAAACAACAGCATTGAACCCAAAAAATTCAGGTAATAACAATGACCTCTGCTTCGGTACCTAGTTAATCTATACTAATATTATAAAGCTGAAGAGTTTGTTTAAAAAGGCGCTAATCTCAGGAACTACTGGTCCGATTTGAAAAATTCTTTCAGTGTTAGATAGCACATTTATTAAGGAAGGATAGGATATATAACATCACGGTAAGACCAATACAAGTGGAGCATCAATAAATAATGTTTCAAAATAGGGGTTAAAATAGCTCCTTAACGTTCTATAATTCAAAAATATTTTCACTTTCTACGTAAATGAAGTGGGGTGTAAAATGTAGCGTTATGCCCAAGTAACTATTCTACGCGGACAGAGTCGCGAACAAAAGCTAGTAATAAATATAGAGGAAAAATAAATCACTTTTACTCTCATATCTTAATGTGTTCGTGATGTCTCTGACAACAAATTAACAATAGATAGCTTTCGAAACAGCCGATCTACGTAATACTTTTTGTGTTTAAATAATATAATTACCCGTGCTGGCAAATGCACTTAGATGTGACTAATTAAATGTAATTACTATCACCATCATGCCTATTTCTGTCGTGAAGCAGTAATGCGTTTCGATTTGTAGAATGGGGCAGCCGTTGTACTGTAAAAGTGAGACAGAACTCATGACTCAAGTTGGTTGGCTGGATTTACTCTGTTGTCTATGGGCTCCGGTATCACTTAACAGATGCACCATGACGAGACGATAGACGAGCATTCATTTAAGAAACGTACAAAATTGGACTGTACATTCAATAATTTGTTTACTTCAGCTAATTTGTTTACTTAATATATACTAGAACATGTTCTTCCTTATTTACAGTTGTACGTGTGAGCAGACATTTATGGCTTAGACTGCTGTCCAGTAGATATCCAGATTTCGAATTCATCAAAACTGATACAGTCAGAACATTGCTGGACACGCATCGGAATCAGGGGATCATTAACGTACTACTGGCCGTGAAAGGTATGCGTTAAGAAAATTTAAAATCCATCCCAAACATTCTTACCTGCAGTAATGAAAGCCTAATTTGTGTTCACACAAAAACAAGTTAATCTGATATCCGTCCCAAAAAGATGTGGGATGGTATGACGAAATCTAGTGGATATTTAGTTTAACAACAAAATCTTTTATTCTTTCAAAAAAATACTACATACATCTTCGTAACATCGTTCTGTCAATCTTATATATTCTGTCAGTTATATTTTCTTCTTTTAAAAATAAAACTCGTGTGCCAGTGTGAATTAACCAAAAAGTTTCGATCTTCCCACTCGTGCCTCATCTTGACAAAAGTCGTTGTCAAAGTAAAACTGGGTTTGGTAAGAAATATCGCACAAGAACAGCTGCAATATCGTTTCTACCTGTAGAAAGGTCACGGTCACGCCATATTATAACTAAATTTTATCTCTATCATAACCTTTGCGAGGATAGGATAAACATATAGCGTATAAGCACTCTTTTACAAAAATATTCCAATATGAATATTGAAGGAACATTATATAATCCATAATTAAAATCTATTTGTCATTTCTCACTCGTTATGTTTGTCCCAACATGCAATAAATATATTTCGTATCTCGTATCTCGTATCTCGTATGTCGTATCACTCTTGTCAGAGCGGTCGTGGTCGTCATCCAGCATCATTGGTGTGGGCAGATGTTATGCGCCTCACGAGCAATCGCCACTCCTCCCGGTTTGTGTTGAGCCTGGTACACTCATGCAAACAGCCGCCAACTGCCGACTTGATCTGGTCGGTCCATCGCATGGGCACCCTTTCACGCGGTCTGGTGCCTTCTACTTTGCCCTCAAGGCCCCAACGACAAGGCGCTCTATGGAGTCATTTCCTCGCCGGGAGACATGTCCAAAAAATGATAGCATGCGTCCATGCACGAGCGCCGAAAGACGCTGCTTAATGCCGAGTTCCTGAAGAATGGAGATATTGGTGCGAAGTTCAGTCCATGAAATACCAAGCATTCGTCTCCAGCACCACATCTCCAGAGTATATGGGGGTAAAGAAATTGAAGATTCTTTCCACCAAACGGGCGAAATCACTTGCTAGACCCACGATCCAAATCGACGAAACAAAGCGTAATATTAATAACTTGAAAAACCCAACTTTACACCAAAGCCAAAAAACTGTATATTTAAAAAATTCATAACTCATATTATATTTATAGACATAGAAATTTGAGAATTGGTATGTCGAAATAGTTTCTCGAAACGTGTTTTTTTTTTCCTACCTATGCTGATAGCCTTGAGAAGATATTTTAGCTTCACCCTAACGTTTGTAGGTGAGCTCACGGGGCTCAAACCGGAGAGTTGCTAACACTGGCCCTAGCAAGAGCAGTGCTTCGCAGAATCTACCACCGGATCGGAAACGCGACCCACTGAGAAGATCCGGCCAGAAACTCAGTGGGCTTGAAACGTGTATATCTTCAAGCTTATCTTGAAAAATTCCTTAGCGAGATTCAAGCATCTGTAAAATATCTTGTATTCTACGATGGCTAACGCAAAAGGCATTTAAAATTCTTCCAAAACTTTCTACTGTTTTTTATAGGTAATCCGAACGTCGATGAAATCAAAGGAAAACTCATAGAGCACGTTATCGACAAACGAGATAGGAATGGACAGTTCATGTTTCCAAGGTTACGACATTTACTCGTCTCGTGCTGGGGCAACTACGCTTGGGATGTCAACGTGCGTTTTCGGTTTGAAAACCACTTCATCGTAGCTAATGCTGTGTACAGAGGTCGACCGGTTACAGAGAGTAATATACAGGTAATTATTGAAAGATATGAGGTAATATCGATATCGCGAAACTGACAAGTTTACCAACTTTTTTTTTAGCTTTGATGAGTGGACGATCTCACAGCCGAACTGGTGTTAAGTGGTTACTGGAGCCCATAAACATCTACAACGTAAATGCCCCACCCACATGGAGATATAAGTTCTAAGATCTCAGTATAGTTACAACGGCTGCTCCACCCTTCAAACCGAAACGTATTGCTGCTTTACGGCAGATAGGCAGGGTGGTGGTACCTACCCGTGCGGATTCACAAGAGGTTCTACCACCAGTAATAAAAAGAGGTCCTACCACCAGTAATCACAAGAGGTCCTACCACCAGTAATAACTAGCATGACTGATACTTACAAATTGTTGTTTAAGTAACTACATATTTGATTTTTTAAGTAACTATTTGGTGCGCTTAAAATCAGAAAGTTGCCTCTTTATAGCACACGAAACCGTCGATAGCACGAATCAATTCAACCGAGCCCCAATAACAAACAACTTAACAACGCTCAAATAGTAAGCTGAATAAAAATATAATTACTTATTTTTGCCCTGTCGGGTGCGGACGAGATTCTAACTAGGCCAAAGAAATAATGTTCATCTATTTTCATTGGGCACTGATAAATAATATGTGAAATTTTTTAACACGATCGGACGCTTAAAATTGATAAAAATGATGTTTAAAAAATTTATGGTACATAGCATGCATCGTAATGCAATTTCGACGGTTGGATTGTCCATTTTGGCCTCAAATGACGTCAGACGTCATACAGGGAAGAATGAATACTCGGTAGGGAATTAATATTCTCGGTAATAAGCTTTGTTTTCTTAGCCGTTTAGAAAAATGTTTGGTATATTGACGATTCAAATTGAACAAAACTTAATCTTAAAGTAATTTCATTCTAGGAATACATCAGTGACATCGTATCAAAATATTTCTCTCCAGACCAACCGCCTTGGCAATACATAATAATACCGTGTGCAGCTACAGAACCAAAATATTATATTTTAGTTCGCGTGCACCATCTGCTACTATCCGGCGCGAAGTCTATTAACATCGGAGATTTATTACTGGTCGAGCAATTGAAACAAACAGATAGAATGGCTCAAGAATATACACAACAAAGCCCTTTAACGAAATTATTTCCAACGCCTTCTGCCATACCTCAATTGTGGGAAAAGCTTCATGAAAATATGTCGAACACATGGAACGAATTCGTTTCTGAATACGACCCCGTCGAAAGCCCTCGTGCTTTGAAAAGCATGCCGGGTGCGTTCCACGTCGCTGGTCTGCTATTGATATCCAGCGTGAGTGCTTTGAGAGAACTCAACAAGAAATCGAATGGCAGAAACAGAGCCACTGATGGTCCGATCACAGCAACTACTCTACTTGCAGCAGTGAGAAGAGAATGTAAAAGGAGAAGCTTAACTATAATTAAAGTACGTGATTTAAAAAACTTGACGTAACCGAATTCAGCACTACAATACTATATTACATTCATGATTATAATAAAATTACAGGTTTTCTTGTCACCGCTAGTGACAGCAGACCCGAGAAAATGGCCTAAAAGAACATTTAAGACTATCACGACATCGACTGTTTTAATGTTGAAATTACCGTTTCGCGTTCGCGATGAAATTTTAGCTTTAAATGAACTAAAGAATACTGGTCACGTAAAACAGCCTAACACTTTAACTTGGAGGTACGGGGAATTGGCGCAGCTTTGCGTGAGAGCTACTAATGAAGCGTGGAATGGCTTACTAGAAATTTATAGGGCTCCAGCGAAATTGTGGACGGACACTATTAGAACGGACGATGGGAAGCGACACTTGTTACAAGCTGTTTCTCTGTGCGGACGGAAGGTAATTTATAATTTAGTTTTGCGGAAACTTTATCGTCAATTACTAAGTATAAGTCGGACCACCCGATGTCCTTGAGTACGAAACTAAAGAATTAGGAGGAAACTCTTCTTTATTATTAGGAGATGCGATTAAATTGTTTCCCAAGCATTGTCTTAATTCTGTATTCGTCGTAATTCTGTCAAGTGTTATCATAAAGGTATGAGAGCTTTAATTAGGAAAAAGGGTAATTGTAATGTCCTACCTCTCCCAGCCTGAGCCAGGCCAGACTCTTTCGCTCGGGCGATGAGATTTATTTTAATGTCTTTTTTTTTTATGATTGAAGGATTACTGGTGGCCCGGAGGCCTTTCCAGTTTCACCAGGACAGGTGGGCGAGCAAAGGCTCAGCCAAGAGGGGTGGGATTTGCTAACAGCTACCCGAGCGCCTCCGAAGGAGACCTAACAACTCAAGAGTAGCTGCTTCGCGAATGAATCTACTACCGGATCGGAATCGCGACCCGCTGAGAAGATCCGGCGAGAAACTCAGCGAGCTGATTCATGGGNGCTACAACTTGTTTCGATGATCTATCTAATGTCGAGGTGATGTGTGACGTTAAGATGTCTATGGCTTCAGCGGTATCCTGAGGAGACGGGGTAGAGTCCGGGTTAAACGGGAGCGATGGTGGATCAGATTCAGCCAGGCTGATGCCCAGCGTGTGCCAATCAACCACAGTCCTCGTGACGGGAACGGAATCGGGAGCGCGAATTATTTTAATGTACTCAAGTCTCCAAGCTATCGACCGAAAACGGATGTTGCTTTCCATATTGGCCATTGACAAAAACCCAAAAGTATTCCCAGTTAATTATGAGAATTTTCAGGTTATATCATGGTCTCGTCCCGTATCTCGGTCTGCAATCGAACGCGTGGCTCGGGCGTTGGGCGTATCATCGACAGACGTCGTTTTGTTCGCCGCAACGGATGCATTACGAGCGTTCTTTGAACAAGCACACGGGGACCCACCGGACATAGTGCTCACAACAGCTAGGGCCGCTTCAGAAGATTTCCTATTCACTTTCGCGGAGGGCCAGGGGAAGATGTATAAGAAATCACAAACTGGTGGTGAGTGAAACTTTACGGGAATCAATAGCCCAAAAAGTAAATCGGTCGGTATTGTACGACTAACTGACCCAGCAGACTTCGTAGTGCCTTAATCGATAAATAAAACGCCTAAACTTTTGTATAATAAAATAAACTTAAAACAAACAAAAAGAATCTGTTCGACGAGGAACACATCAAAGGAAAAACAAAATTTTTATTTTTATTTCATTCCGAGCATTTTCATATTTATCTACCTTTTAAACCTCTGGACTTCCACAAATAATTCAAGACCAACATTAGCCAAATCGGTTTAGCCGTTCTCGAGTTTTAGCGAGACTAACGAACAGCAATTCGTTTTTATATATATAGATAGATGTCGCTGCTCTGGTGAAAAATTTATAGTGTACAATTTCAATGATTTTCCAGGTATGGTCTGCCTGACCCTGCCTATAGGCGCGAGTCCGCGTCGTATCGCCGCCGTAGTGGAACAAGCGTGCAATAGACAGCAGGCATTGGCCGGGGCCTGGGCGGCCCAGGCTCGATGCGGTGCTTTAACTAGAGCTGTTCCTTCTCCTCTCGCACGATTAGCATTAAATATACTGTCAAGAAGATACGCGGTGTCTTATGCGGAAATCAACGCACCTCTCAATGCCAAACAACGGGCCACACTGTGGGGTCAGACTGTCGATCACGTTATCTATTGGCGCCCGCCTCAGGCCAATATCAGTAAGTTCTAGAACTTAAGCTTCGACGACGTAATGATAAACACCTAAATCAATTTTCTAGGTTGTGAGTGATGTTATAAATATTAACGGTCTTATTCATAATAAAGCTCTTATCAAAGGTATAACCGATATGAGTTAAAACTTTATCTAAGGTTGTCAATCATTCGAAAACTTTTTTTTATACCGTAATATGTAATTTTTTTTTAATGATTTATATTTATTATATATTGTTAATATTATTTTTTTATTATATTTTAGTGAGCTATCGAAGCCTTATAAGCTCTTTTAACCCACAAACGAAACCCATTGGTTTCTCATGGGATCTACTCAGTCCGTTAGAGAGTTCGATAGGAAGGAAATCGGCTTAGAAAGTCGAGAAAGGCTTGTGTCTGCCTATAATGGTATATACATACAAGACTTAAAACGCAAAACAAAACAAAAAAAACTTATTATATCAATTTCTTTTTTTATTTTAGTTATGGTAAATTTGGATATTGCTACTGCCGGGTAACAGCTACCCAACTATTCTTGATCTATTTAGTTTTCTTTATTATTTATTATTCATATATGTATTTTTTCAGAAAAAGGATATGATTTGATTAATTCCGTTTTGCTAAAGCAAAATTACCCTTTAAACAAGAAAGCGAACTCTTTTGCTATAGTAATAGGTATAATAGTGTTATAATAGTGTTAACTATACCTGAGACCTTAGAACTTAATACCAGGTGGGCTGTGAGCTCATCCACCTACCTAACCAATAAATAATAAAAATAAAACCTCCGGATCGACTGATCAAAATAGTTCCTTTGTTGCAGGTATGTCACTAACAGTGATACAATACGGGGAGACGGTGAGGCTGGCCGTGATGGCGGACGCGAGGCTGTCTCCGTCACATTCCGCCCCCACCACGCGATGGCCCGTCGCAGTCGAGCAACTAATCAATAAAGTCGATACGGAAATATCTCGCATAGCCACAACACTACAGCCCGACATCCCTACTGCGGTCGAAACTCGAGAAGCTGACGACACTTACGAGGCAGAAACGTCGCGTGACGTCACCAGCTCGAGCGGACTGAGGCCGCCGGTTTTGACAGCTGTCAGTCCGCCGCCATTGCGACGCAGAATGACGCACCACTGACGAATTCGTAAAAATTGTGACGATGCAGTGCAATATAAACTAGTCGACCGAAGCAAGTTTTAAGTTGCGAGGGAAAGAGTGAGGCAACTTTGTAATGTAATGTAATGTGGGACTGAACGAATATGACTATGATCTTAAGAGAAATGAGATTCAAATATTTTCAAATTCTAAATATTGTATACGAGCAATATTAAAATCAATAATGTATTGAACGATACATAATTATGACAAAACAGAAGACTAATTTTGACAAAATAGAAGACTGATGATATTTTCTTTTTAACAAATAAAGAAATCAATTAAAATATGCATTATTAAGGATAACTCATAGAGCTGAATCATGCTAATAGGTTCATCTAAAAAAAGTACTACGTTAACGTAAAAAATACAGTGGAAAATTGTGAACCAACTTTTTTTGAAGTCGGTTAAAAAATAAATTTCAATAATACAAAATGCACAGGATTCACAATATAAAAAAACATATTTTATTACATTTTGTATTTTATTTCACACCTCATTTCCTTCTGGATTTCCTCTTTTTACTGGGTTTCGGTGCAGCAGCGGCGGCTGGGATCTCTCTCTTCTTGTGAGTCTTTTCCGAGCTTGGCGCTGCTGTTTCTGCGACGTCGTCGACTTCCATGTTCCCCGCGTCTGGCACGTAGCTGAAGCCGGGCACGTGCGGCTCGACCAGCTCGAACACGAGTTTCCTGTGCTGAAGATTCGAGCTGTCCAAGCTGAGACGGACCGTTAGCTCGTCGAACGTCTTCAGCACGACGTCCCCGCATTTCTGAACGTGTTCCTGCGAAAATGCGAATGCGAATATTAGTGTTGATTCCGGTGTCGTACTTGAGTATTTTTTTATTATTATTTCTGAATACAATATTTTGACAAACGACATGGCGCCACTAGTGTGAACTTGTGTGAGAGAAATGTACTGTTAAAAAAAAGGTGATTTCCCATAACCACTTATGGGCGAACGGCTCATTTATAGATCTATATACATGTAACATAAAATACATTTCACCCGATCCCACATCATTGACAATGACCATAACAGCTCAGTTTCTTTTCTACGCACCTCTTCATTATACGTGAATTTTTCAGATGGTAAATACAGAGGTCCTTCCAGTCCATATTTAGGTATCAGTACTTGCAGGGCGTTCCGCTTCACCGCCAGTACAACTGCAGACTCTATTTCTACTCTGTTCTTGAATAAAATCTGAAAGATATTAACAAAATAATCCATTTATTTCATTTTAAAAAAGTATTTATTTCTTCTTTGATTTGTGTCATGCTTTCTTCTTTAGACAAACAAAAATATTAGCATATAATAATGAACACGGAATCTTAAAGGAAATTACTAAATTCTGATTCCTTTTGTTTATTTTTAATTAAAAGAGCTTACCTATATAAACTACTAGGTTTACTACTAACGTCTAAAGTGATTGTTTCTAGAATCATCTGTAGATGCGTCGTTTGGCAATAACTTTGTATACTCGCCGACACGTAAATTGACAAGGTTATGGCTTAGTGGGGGTAAGGTCGCGCATAGTGCACTTAATTCAACAAAAATTTTTCACACGCAAGTGTAATCGGGAGCGAACGGAACGTAGACGCGGTGCGGGAGGGGAGGGTCGTCTGACTCACCAATCGCGCGCTCGGAACGGTACTACGACAGTCCCCGCGTCCCGCTTGACAACTAAAGAGATCTAAAAAACGACTTGTATGCATCTAACTACTCTTCCCAAGTTACGTGCCGGGGACTGTATACGCGGCCTGAATTATCGTATTGTTCGATAGTGAATCAGTATCGTATCGTGACTTTGTATTCGCGGCCTGAATTATCGTATTGTTCGATAGTGAATCGGAATCGTGGTTGGCGTGAGTGTACGCACGTGAGTGTTGAGCGCCACGGAGGCGCGGCCGGCGAGCTGCGCGTGGCGGTGCCGGTAGTTGAGTGTGTCGGCGAGCGCGGTCTGGCGGCGCGCGTCCAGCAGCGCGGCGTGCGGGCCCGCCCCCGCCACGCTCGCCGCCAGCAGCCGGTGCACCACCACGTCCGCGTACCTGCACACCGCGCCCGGACAGAATACTTAACCATACACATTTTTATCAACTTATGCGGCCCACACACGACCCTAAAATCAGTGGCGATATTGGGACAGCGATGGTGGGGATAATCGTCCCTAAATCTTGAGCTCGCCCGAAGCGACATTAGAGTTTAGTGTAAACAATACAAATCGAATTACAATTTGCCTATACCTCCTCGCGTCGTTTTCCTGAGGGTCCTGAGGTTTCCTGATTACTGAGGGTCGTGATTCCCCCGCTGCATCAATTTCTCCCGTACGATTTTCCTCTATCTGCCGCGATCCTTAGCTTCATGAAGGGCGCATTGTAGAAGTTGATGTTTAGAGAAGATCATATTTGGTCCGACCATCTCGTGGGACTGCGTCCTCTGGGACGTTTGCCATCTACCTTTCCTGTCACCATCAGCTGTTCTAGATTGTGACCCTCTTTACGAGCAATATGTCCGAAGAAATCCAACACCGTACGAAAGCATATAGTGGAAAGTCTACTTTTGATATGAAGCTCTCTCAGAATAGACATGTTGGTGCGAAAGGCGAATGTGCGTATGCCTATACACGAGGTGATTTAGGGTACGATTTAGGGTCCTCCCCACCACGGTTGAAGTTGTCGTTGCCATGTAGGTCACCGGTGCCATAAATGGTGCACTGCGGTAATAATGTCGATTTCTGTTACTAAAGCACCTGAATTACCTAACTTAGCTTTTATTTGTCTGTCAATTTACGTTTTAGTCTTATATGTCTGTTAGAAATACATACATTCTGAGTATTGTTCGGGTTCGTCTTTCTCAGGGTCTATTAGATATTCCGGCGCCTTGATAAAGAAAATCGAAGAGAGAAATCGACATTTTACTGGTGGTAGGACCTCTTGTGAGTCCGCGTGGGTAGGTACCACCACCCTGCCTATTTCTGCCGTGAAGCAGTAATGCGTTTCGGTTTGAAGGGTAGGGCAGCCGTTGTAACTATACTTGAGACCTTAGAACTTATATCTCAAGGTGGGTGGCGCATTGACGCCGTAACACTAGGTGGGCTGTGAGCTCGTCCGCTCATGAAAGCAATAAAAAAAAAACTTCAGTGCGCCGCGTAGGGCACCGGTGACCTACACGGCAGTCTACGTGTTAAAGGCAAGAGCCGCTGCGTACCTCCGTATGGGCGAGGTGAAGTGCGTGTAGATGGGACAGGCCAGTCCGTAGTGGTAGTAGTGGTCGGCGGCGAGGCTCCCGCTCACGAAGTACGCGGCCTGCTGCATGCAGCGCGTCGCCATTATGCGCAGCAGCGTGTTGAAGAACGGCCGCTCCGGTATCACGGCCTCGTTCAGCGATTTCGAAAACGATTTGTTCGTTGACACGTCGATTTCGAAGCCCTGAAAAGTTTGCAGTTTTTAATTAAGCCGCGTTCAGACTACGCTATTATAAATAAATATTTTTTTTACAAAATATGCTTTTATAGAAAATCCAACTAAAAAATAGGAAAATAAATATGAATTAAAAATAGTTTAACTCATTTTTTCTTACACATTTTTAATTCTAATTTATTAAAATTGATTTTCCTATTTTTTTGTTGGATTTTCTATAAAAGCGTATTTTGTTATTATAGTTTTTTAAACTATTATTTCTTTTTCATTTTTTAGTTGAATTTAAATTTTTTCAATCTTTTTTAATTTTTTTTTATATTGCCTTGCTGTCGGTCTTTAATAAATATATCAAATTTCGAGTTAATCCGATGTTTTGAAGGGGATCAAAATCATGTTCAAAGATTCCTTTACAAACATACATACATACGTCTGAAGTTAATAAAAAGCGTATTAAAAAGCATATAGTATATAGCTCATAGCACAACAATATCGCACCCCATACATTGTTATGGCCAAGTATATACTGCTATACTATATGGCACTATATTATAGCGTAGTAGCGTAGTCTGAAAGCAGCTTTAGTCGTGCAGCGTTTTGTGGTGGGTACCACCGCATTTCTAATGTCTTTCATGAAGCAGTAATGCGTTGCGATTTGAACGGTAAGACAATTGTACATTCAAATTTTAATTTTTATTTTTTTTATTGCCTTTGTAGGCAGACGAGCATACGGCCGACCTGATGGTGAGTGGTTACCGTCGCCCATGGACTTCAGCAATGCCAGGGGCAGAGCCAAGCCGCTGCCTACCGCTGAAGCTGCCGCTGAATTAATCGGCGTAGCATCATTCAAGGTTTATATATAATAACTATGGCTACAGGTGACGATACTGAATGTACCGTGAGATCATTAACCCCTCTATGCAATAAAAAAATTAAAACTATATGAGCAAAATAATTGGATTAAATAATCTTATTTAATTTTTATGTATATTTTTATACCGGTAGCCAAAAGACACCGTAATGCTTGGCCATTTTGAGACAACATTTCAATAAGTCTCATTCATCAGTTGACGAGTGTCCTAACCATACAAATTGGAATACATACTCTGACATACTTAACGACAGATGAGTCGTCTATTATCAAAGGCGGCAATCTGTGCATTTGAACAAGAAAATGTTATTGATATGTCAATACAGATTGATTTGAATATAATCGTCTCCTTCAAAGAATACGGTTCAAAACCTGCATTAAATAAAGGTTAATACTTAACCTGTTATTTATCTAAGATGTCGTTCAGAAGAGTTTTGTGGCTGCCAATGGAATACAAAGTCAATAATTCGTTTTTCTGATTTACCAATCATTGTCCAAAAGTCAGATTGCCGCCTTTGATAATAGTCGACTCAAATATAAGGTGTAGTGGTGCAAGAAGTAAAAAAGTACCAATAATTGCAGTTTATTTAGTCATCTATAAAAATGTAGCATTTAGCAAGCTCACCTGTTGTCTCGCAGCTTTTAAGAAAGTATCAAAATTAGCAGGAGGCGGCGCCGGGTGTCTCCGCAACATGGCACACTGAGGGAATTCTTCTAGAATCTTCTGAGCCACGCTGGTATTGGCTAACAACATGAATTCTTCTACCATTGAGTTAGTGTCAACTATCTTCTTGGCTTGCACTTCGATTGGGTCGTGAGTCTCAGAGTCTACCTGTAGAAGTCGGCAGATTCTGATCACAAAAAAATTAAAAAGCTCGAAAGTAGAACGAATCATTTTGATAATGCATAAAATAATGGCCGTATTACAATAATACGGATATTGACTGATATCTCAAGTTGGGGGAATGTTTTCTTTTTTTATGAAAGTTTGGTATAGGATTACTGGTGTTATACATAATATTAAACGACAGAAACAAAGTTGCGGTACTCGTAATTTTTATAATTGAATAATTTTTATAACAGAGTTGACACTGTCAGCGTGTTGCCAATATACATTTTTTTACTAAATCACCGCCATTTTACTCAAGAGTTTTGAAAATCACTTTGCATCGTTGTGCAGTCGTCATTCTCTCCACTTCCGTGACGTCAGAATACATAGCAGAATACATAGACATCTTCCTATTTACGTCATACCTTTATCTCTTTGATGTAACGAAATATGTATACCTAAATACGACGTTTCCTTAAAAATATACCGTTAATTCGCTTTCACTTATCGATTATATAATCGATCGTGATCTGCAATTGTGATGTTCAACTATTCTACCACCCGTCACACGGTAGTGTCCTTTGATAGGCAAGATAGCTGATAACTACCCGCATTAACTCACAATCAACATTAAACTTTCTATAGCAATGCGGCAATGAATGCCAGCTGTCTTTACATTCCATTGCAGCTTCCTGGAATATGAACTGACTAAAACGTGAAGTTATGCTTTAATAATGAATTAGGCGAGTATATCCCTGTTTCGTTACATATAGAATATATCTATCGAGTCCTTAATACAATTCATTCGATAACACATCCATGCATGAAGCCGACGTTTTTTTTTTTTAAATTAATTGCTTAGATGGATGGACGTGCTCGTGGCTCGCCTGGTGTTAAGTGTTTACCGGAGCCCATAGACATCTACGAGGTAAATGTCGCCACCACCTGGAGACATGAGTTCATGGTGTCTCAATTATTTAACAGTATAGTTAATTTACCGTCTTACCTGAAATCGGATCTCGGGCGAGGCCAGTAACAGGGCACCACTGTCCAATCGCTTTTTCTTAAGTTTCTTAGCGAGTTTGTTGAGTACGCGCAGAGATTTCGCAATCTCGTCTTTGCGACTCGAATCGTCGATTGCGATCTGAGCCTCTTCGTAAGTCATTGCAGCTTTTGACTGTTAATTTAATACAGACATCAATAACAAAACCCAGAATTTTTTTGTTTTTTTTTAAGTGATTTTATGACCTGGTAACTGTGACCTTTAAGTCATGTCTTATTTCAATATATATTCTTATTTTTATGAAAAATGGAGTGTAATAATAGGGAGTGAAATGAAATGAGATGATATGGGATGAAATATAATCTCAGTAAAATGGTGGTCATTTACTGAGATCTTTTCAGTGACTTTTTGGATCCCGAGAAGTTACGTCCAGCGGCTTTGTTTCATTTTCCCACATTTGTGCACTCTCACAGATATTAAACAGTTAATAAACCAACAATTAAAAGCAATTAATAAACAATTAAAAGCCGAAGAAACACTAAATAGACAAAATAAAACAAATTACACAACTTCACTCCTCGCGTTCCCCAGATATTTTAATTATATGCATACATACATAGATTACATGAGGGGCTGTGAAATTCGGTTTTAAAAACAAAATCAAACAAGTTGTAGTTTCCCGGGATAAATAGCTGCTTGTCTAACTTTCTAGTCTATAAGCTATCGTTTCTATAAAAACCATCACCCTGATAACTGGTAGGTAAAAATCTCCCTAAAAATCTCTACCGTATTAAAAGTGTCTGTGCCAAATTTGAAGTCTATCAAACGGAATTTCGAAATAATGAATTTAATAATTCGCTATATACATATAAGATACAGTTTGTTCAAGTGTGTAGTTTGATTTAGTTAGACTAGCCTTAAACACTATTCAGATCTAAATAGAACCAACAATTTACGTGAAAATCGCACAAAGTATAGACTGACCCCGTCTGTTTGTTATATCAATATCAATTCGTATTGGTATATTTAAACAATATGATTTATAAGAATGCTTTACCTTTATGATACTTTTGTGGAATTTCGTAGACAAGACATTAGCGTTCTCGTCCATCTCCCACACGCACGAGAAGGCGAGCCTTTCTTCGCCGCCTCTAAGTGAGCACAGGTTCGAGCTAAGTAACTCTAAAACAAAAACATACAATTCAATTAAAAACAATTTTTTATGGGTTGTTTTTGACTTATGAATTTTTTGGCCTTGTAGGCAGACGAGCATACGGCCCACCTGATGGTGAGTAATTACCGTCGCTCATGAACGTCAGCAATGCCAGGGGTAGAGCCAAGCCGCTGCCTAACGTTAAGTCCTCTTCACGAGCCTCGTGTGAATAAGGACATGTCTCGAGGCACTCGAGAAATATGATTTATGTCTGTTCCATTTGATTTTTTTTTATCCATTCGACAATTCCAAATACATTGATAAATAAGTTTAAAATGCAAAACACATAAGTATTTATATAATTCATCGCCCAGAGATGACCCTTTAACAAAGTTTGTTGCTTCAATAAAATACTTTAACTTCAATTTGTTTTTTAAAATATATAATCGAATTAGTTACCGCATACATTGAAAACTACCGTCCGTCTGACTGTATAAGCTTTTTATTTTCCAATATAAATAAAAAAAAACAGTGTTCGTTCGTTTTCTACGCGTTGGCTCAACGTTCTTTTGGAATTCGCCCAATAGTCGACACTTACATGAAACTTGTAACACGTAATATTTGACGGTAGTCACAGAAACCTTACCCGGCACCATATCGATCCTCCTGTCGACGAGATATACTGTAGTTGACCTCGAAGCGGCCTCCTTGTCCAGGGCGGTGTCGGGCTTCACGAAGTACGTGACGTCAGCGATGTGCACGCCCACTTCGTACGTTGCGAGCCCGTCGCTGGAGCCCAGCCTGCGGGCGTGCAGCGCGTCGTCTATGTCCGTGCACCCGGGCGGATCCACGGAGCATACGCACACGTCGCGTAGATCTACACGTTTCTGCCTTTCCTGTTCACGTGACAATGTTTCTTTTACGTATACGACAAAGAGAAGATCTTCCACCGAGCGGGTGATATTGCTCGGTAGACCGACGGTCCGAATGTTATTGATCGGAACTTGTATATATGCAAGCTTATCTTGATGTTGTCGTAAGCGAGATTCGGGCATCTGTCAAATATCTTGTGTTGTATGACGGCTACCCGCCACACATACGCCGCCGTCTCTCCCTACTTAGAAGTAGCCAAGGCAGTTACTACCGTTAATCCTGCTATTACAGATTTTCGCGGGCTTACAGGCTTCTGGCCATTGAAAAGAATCGAAATCTAAAAAGGCATTACATTCATTCGATGTAACTTGCTCCTATTGAACTTTTCATTATTTTTTTTGGCCTACTTCATATATCTATAATATATCATAATGGGGAGACCCAACCACCAAACTTGACCAATTTAAAGAAAATTGCATTCTGTTCAAACATTAAATTGCAAAGTACATATTCTGAAAAAACTGTCGATACCGTAAATCTAAAATCGAGTTCCAGTAGTAGCACCCAAAACGAATTAGAAGCTAGGTGAACAATTTTTTTTACTTCTAACATCCTACCCGCGGTCTTTACTTACCGGTGATCACGGCGCTAGGAACAGCGCCGAAATATCGAGGTCGCATTAAAACTAAAAATCGTATTAAGAACCCGTCAAATAACAGTGTTTATAATATGTTTAAAATAATGCATTTTTTATATAAATTCTGTTAAATATTAATTACCTCTTCAGGTATAGTCCAATCGTTGGGTGGTAGACAGTTGAGTACGGCTTCGCTGAATCTCGCGTGAGGAACGTCGTGCTCTAGCAGTATGACCTCGTTTTCTGCATCCTTGTCACCTGAACGACGTGGAATAGTTTTTATAAGAATATCGCAGCAATATTACTGGTGCGATGACCTTCCAACGGTGGCCGGCAAGAGCAGAGCCGAAGGACCGGGTTCAGTGGTGATGATTGGGAGAGACCTATGTCCATTAGTGGACCGCTTTAGGCTGATGATGATGACGATGATAACTGTCTAAGAATACAGGTAAAGACCGTTATAGCCTTTATCCTTTACTGTATAATGCGATGCAATATACAATTTTTTACTGGTAGTAGGACCTCTTACGAGTCCGCGCGGGTAGGAGCGAGTTTTGAAGTCGTCGTGGCCTAACGGATAAGACGTCCGGTGCATTCGTATTGAGCGATGCACCGATGTTCGAATCTCAGGCGGGTACCAATTTTTCTAATGAAAAACGTACTCAACAAATGTTCACGATTGATTTCCACGGTGAAGGAATAACACCGTGTAATAAAAATCAAACCCGCAAAATTATAATTTGCGTAATTACTGGTGGTAGGACCTCTTGTGAGTCCGCGCGGGTGGGTACCACCACCCTGCCTATTTCTGCCGTGAAGCAGTAATGCGTTTCGGTTTGAAGGGTGGGGCAGCCGTTGTAACTATACGTGAGACCTTAGAACTTATATCTCAAAGTGAGTGGCGCATTTACGTTGTGGATGTCTATGGGCTCCAGTAACCACTTCACACCAGGTGGGCTGTGAACTCGTCCATCCCTCTAAGCAATAAATAAATAAAATAAAAAGGCCGTACTGGAACCAATTAAGTTTTAGGTCTCGCATAGTTCGTCATGAACATCAATCAATTAATAATTAAACTGACGCGAGGGATCTACGGTTTAGGGGAAGGAACGCCGAGGAGGCGTCTACCAGTGTACTTAGCGCGAGTTTTTAAGCTTCTCGATTGCGTAAAAGTTAACTCAATTTTGTATGGAGTTAGAACAGCCGCTCTAGGTTTGCCGCTAGGGGCGCAGTTCCAACTCCATACAACTAAGCAGCTCCACTAAGCACACAGCTGTCTTCTCGTTTTACAGGGGGTTTATAGGGGAGAACTAAGAAGAAATTAACTTTAGTGACGGTAGGGCATATTGTAAGCCTGCACGGGCTTGTAAGTTGTAACAGGCAAGGCAGGTCATGCAATACAACTGAGATTTCCAGCGCGTCTCTCAGAGTAGGTTGCGACATTAAAGTTGTGACATCTACGACTTAGTTAAACTCTTATCACAATGTGGATCGAGATCTCGCTCAGCCATATATCCAAGAAAAAATTCTAAAATAAAAGTATATGAATAAAATTATACATTTATGTCTGACTAGTAGCTTTCAGTCTAGTTTCTACTATCTGTAGGCTACTATCATACAGCCTGTATGTATAGCAAAATCACGACCCTCCTGTGGCTAATGAGATATCGGTGCATAGAAAACGAATACTAGCATCAGACTCAAGGTCAACGTTTATGAATAAAATAATGGCTATTTCACTCTTCGAACTAGTATGTGTATTGGATTTGTTACAGTGTGTAACGTCAAAACTACCCCAAAATTATGTATTCCGTTAATCGAAAGATATTATTACGACATATTTAAACTTACCAATTGGTCCGAGTGCTCTTACAAGATGTCCAAGTGGATATCGGCTGTTCCTGGGCCAAGAGTCAAGAGCAACCAAAATGCGTTGCGAGGCCAGTATCTCACTCTGTCTGGTTTCGATACGAACACGAGGAATTCTCTTCTCCGCTGGTGTGAAGAGATGACGCGTTGCACCTAAATTTAAACGATTTCTATAGTGTTTAATTGAAAATCTCACGAAATAATATTATTCAAACAAATAATTGAGTCTTTTATTTTTTATTATTCAGAAATTATCTTGAAAGCTGCATTATGATAATTATCACTACATCAAACATTTCTTCTGAAAAATCAACAAACTCACCATGAAATTTACTAGGCATTAGAATTCCACAATATTGTCTCCATTTCCTTCTAATTATCCCTACTACTTTTCCTGTAGGGGTGATTTCGTCATCATTATCTACTGGTTTTGCAGCATCAAGCAAAACAGTCTCTTCTTCTAAAATATTTTCAGGGTCCTCAGTTTTATCCTCTAGAACTATATTACTAGGTTTCCGCCATTCTTCTTTAGGGAAAATTTCTATCGCAACTATATCACCATCTATAGCACGGTTTATGCCTATGTGACCTTGCAATAATATCTGAAAATGTGTTCTAAATGTTTCAAAACATACTTGTGGTCATGCAGTGCCCCAAAGACATAAGTGAACAAGTAGTGATAGGCTTGTGAAGTTAGTCATTATAAGAAAGGCATGTGGTGCCACTATTCATTTAGATTTTTCGCAGATAAAATATTACTTATTATTAGTCCATTCAGTACAAACTTTAATAATTTAAAATAAAACGTCTACTTTTAAATAAGAGTAAATCAAAAGTTTTTTATATTCACTTACCGACTTTTCAAAACCATTAACACTGGCATTTCCTTCCAAGAAATTTTCTCTAGAAGCATGATATGTGCCTTGATACAGTTGGCCACAGCGGATCCCCTCATGTATTTGTGATGGAGTTAAATGTGCAGGGTATAATGCATCTTTAGAGCATGTTTCAGGCATTACATTCTTGGATAGTTTATCCACTAAACCAACAAATCCAGATACGTTTTCTATGTAATCTTTAACTGAAAATTTTGGTGAAGATATATTTTTATTAAGTTATTTATAATTATATTATCTTTCATATCTTAATTCGGCATTTTTGAGCAAGTCTAAGTTAATGTCTAAAAAAATCCTTACTTGAACAACAAATAATGCCATCTTCTTGGGCAAGCTTTCGATTATTTTCATCATCCGTCACCAATATTATCTTTGGGAATTTTCCATCAAGGCTATTTATGCTCAAGTGATATTCGTACCAAGATGTTGCTTTACGTATAGATCTGTCATTTCTATCATTTTGTTTCTCTCCCGGTGAGCGCTCTATATAGGTATCCCTAAGAATATTTAACAATAGTTTATTATTTACATATTATTTAGTCTATTAAAATTTTTCAAAGGAACTGTTAGTATTTTTTATTTAAAATGGTTAATAGTAAGTAACTAAGCGTGAAATAAATTGAATATTGGTATAGTATTTGTAGTTTTTTAAGGGTCAGATTTCAAAATCATGTTTTATATGTACATTTTATATGTATTTATAATTTATGAATATGAAGTTCATATAACTTAACAAGGTTTAATTGTTAAAAATACCATAATGAGACTTCAAACATAGTTTACATGTATACTAACTATGGGTGTCAATAAAAACCAGATTTCATACAGTTACTTTTTGCTTATGGATCAATGCATCCAATATAAATATGACATTATTATTTGACTGCAATCCACTTTCGATTTGGACTTGTTAGCAAGATTTAACTGTAGGTGAAATTTAAGGTTTGGATGAATTTCATGGTTTTATGATTAAACGTTTTAATGAAATATATGAAAATATTTCATACTTCAACTCCAGCTTTTGATACCAAAATGGAACCATTTCTATTGTGAAATTTATAAAAGAAATACTTACTTGTGATGTTCATTAACAAATGAATAAAACTTTCTCTTTTTATTGGAAATTATATCCAGCAATCTCTGGAAAACTGCAGTATTTTGATGTTTCACTTCCTCAAGTACAGTTTGTAAAATGATAACATTAGTCAAAGCATCTTCCTCCAAAACATCTATTTGATGTAACACAACATTAGTATCCAATACTAGATAATGTGGGAAATCAAACAAAGCACATGGAGATTTGGGAGAGGTCTCCAATACCAATTCATCATCTTTGTGTGGACATGTGTTACATGCTGCAGATCCGCACAATAAATCGTCACGCAAGTAATGTTCTCTTACAATCTAGGAAACATAAAAATATTATTATTATAGTATGACAGATCAATAGCGCTGTTGATGTTGTACATTTATTGGTTCCAAAACATACAAATAGTATATTTATATTATTGAAAACGATGCATTAATGTAATAATCTTTAAATTGTAATTGTTCTAAATGCTAAACATTAGGTATATTTTTGGAGTATTTGAACCGATTCAATTTTAATTCTTAAATAAGATGTATTTGCAATTCTGCCTTTAATTCACATATTTTGAGAGAGGGAGAGAGAGTGAGTATTCTTTATTGTACACCAAAAAATAAATAAACAATGCGATACATTAAATACAAAAAAGTACAATTTTGATTTCGTTTATAAACATAACCTAACCTTCAATATGTTACCACGCTTAGTTTTGGTAAGAAAGGTTTTTGTAGTCCACATTTCATCTGTGTTGAAGCAAGCTTCAACCGATAGACTTTTATTAGTTTCTAAAATTAAAATTTATTCAAAGTATTAGTGAGAAAAACAAAATAATATAGGTACGGTATATCAGAATGTAAATATATTGGCGTTTTGTACGTTGTACGTCAGTATTCAGTAACGTCATGGAAATCACAAATCACAATTACGACTACGACACTTTTTTTTGTTTGATTCGTCGCCAAGCCAACGGAACACCGCCAATGCAGCCAAGTCTTTTAAAAAATCGTAATAAAATAACCTTAATATAATAAAATAAACCTTTACACCCTTAGTTAACCATTACACACTTAATAAAATAAAACTTATTATAGTGAGCTGAATTAAGATAACCTCCCAAAAAATTGTAGAATTTACCTCTTAATTTAAAGGACTTTATCTAAAACTTCGTTTTTAGAGATGCCTTTCTGAGGCATACCTGATTGTGTATTATTTTTCAACACTAATGCACTTTCATAGGTCTGTTTAAGTCAACAAGCAAATACTACACATTTAAACCCAAAAGATGAAATTAATAAAATAAAGACAATAAAATGTAATAGGTGTGCAATACCAAGTATTTTTTTCTCCTACCTACGCCGAAAATTCGGTTTTCCTCCCGCTGTACAGGGAAGAAAGTGTAACTTATCCTCCCGGGGTACTAACAAGTGCGCATACGCGTTAGTGTCTACGTCTCCTCTAACGCACCTAAAATTCTCCGCCATTGTTGTGCTCGGGTAATTTGCAATATTGTGTTTAGTGTAAAAGTGAAATAAACAAAAGGCAATAAAATTTAAGAGTGAAGTATTAAACAAAGATGAGTTCATCAGACAGCTCTTATTCAATTAGTAGTAGTTTATTTAAAAAATAAAAAACAGTTAAATTGTTTTTATATGAGTATGTGGAGACTCCGCCCCCCCCTAACCCCTTCCAGGGCTTCGCCCCTGGACCCCAGCTCGGTATTCCACGAACTTTCGGCCTGCTAGGAGAAAATATAGTATGTGCACCGCGGGAAAAAAGTAGGACATCTCATGTGTTTGTTTTACACGCGGGAGGAAATGTCCTACTTTTCTCTCTTGGTGCACAATGTACTATTGTTATGCCTACGAAATTTTAAATTAAAAACTATAAATTAGCATTCATGCTTAGGGACTAAGATTAGTCTTCATAAGAATACAATTTAACTATTTCTATACTATATGCAGATAGAATTAATTCATTTGATGCTGATGCTAAATACTTATCAACTAAATCATTCAACTTATGATATAATTTAATTTTATTTACAGAACTATAACGTGTTCGTTCGTGGGTTCTTGCCGGATTTTCTCAGTAGGTCGCTATTCTATTCCGGTGATAGGTGCAGAGCACTTCTCTTGCTGGGACTAGTGTTAGCAAAATACATCATTAACTGGTTGTAGGACCTCTCGTGAGTCCGCACGGGTAGGTACCACCACCCTGCCTATTTCTGCCGTGAAGCAGTAATGCGTTTCGGTTTGAAGGGCGGGGCAGCCGTTGTAACTATACTTCTTGAGACCTTAGAACTTATATCTCAAGGTGGGTGGCGCATTTACGTTGTAGATGTTTATGGGTTCCAGTAACCACTTAACACCAGGTGGTCTGTGAGCTTGTCTACCCATCTAAGCAAAAAAAAAAACATCAGGTTATTCCCTGAACTTACCTACCTTTCCACGCACGTTTGAACTTTGTATAGAACCTATGGTATCACCAAAGATTCACGATACATCATCCCTGAAAGAGGGCTTAAAGAGAATAATTTACGGTAAGCAGTGGCTGTTGGAATTGCCAATGCTCGGCGATGATCACCTTAAATTAACCGAACCGCATGCATAACTAAAAGTAATTAAAAATATGTACTGAGTAAATAAAAGAGCAAGCGAGACAAAGTTAATTATTAAGATCCATTTGGTTGGCGTTAGGCTAAATTACTGTTTTGTATGAATGCGCAATTTGTCGGTGTTTTGTTTGGTACTTAGCGAATAAGCTCAGTTACACACTCAAACACTAGATAGCAAATTTAAGCGCACAGATTGAGTCTACGACACAAAAGAAACCAATCTGCGAGCGTATTGAATTACTATTTTTAAAAAGAATCGCCGCTACTGAGATCCTTAAAAATTAAAACTGACTAAACTCAGAGTCATACTGTTCTGTCCACTGGGGAAGTAATGAACCCATATTTGGTCCGGAGTAAGCGATAAATGTAAATACCTAGTGAGAATTATGAAACCGATTTTTTGCCATACCGGACCGAACAGCTCATCCATTGTTTTATTCATTTACGTCAAGACGTATTATTTCAAGACGAAATCACCCGCACAATTTAACGCACAGACACAGCCAACTGAGTTTCTCGCCGGATCTTCTCAGTGGGTCGCGTTTCCGATCTGGTGGTAGATTCTGACAAGTACGACTCTTGCTAGGGTTCATGTTAGCAACAACGTCAGGTTTGAGCCTCGTCAGCTCACCTACTCGCCCTACTCGCCCGGTGATGCTGATATGGTCTCTCAAAACCATCAGCTTAGGTAGAAAAAAAACCCCGCACAAATTGGCAAATCTGATGAACCGGGAGACGTTAGCTTTATCAGAACGGGTAGGATAGCTTGAGGAGTAATTTTTGGACGTCGCTAACAAACCTATACCAACTGCTTTACGAATACATCTACACTTAGATCGTAACGTGCTGAGAAGATCAATTTGAGCAGCAATCAGCGTGGATCAGGTGAATCCATCAGTACGTATCAAGGGCTCCAACAAAGGCTGATTGTTGAGTGAGCCGAGTCAGGGTCAGGGATTGACTTCATATGTGGATAGTGTCGAGATCTAATTCATGGTGAAGATCTACAATCTACATACGTCACCTACTAGTGGGTTCCGAATGCTGCCCTATAGAAATGGGATTGCAAAGCTTGGAGGGTCTCTACATGAGTGGGGATTGCTTGAACGAACACTGCTCTCGATTATTGCTGCTGCTGATTATTTCTTAGAGAATCTGATTAGAGAACTTTAGTATGGTAGTTGTAACAGAAGTCATAGATAGCTCGAAATAAAATTAAAAATATATCTGCACCTTTTTTTTGTTGCCATGATTTTTTCTCGTATGGTTTTTTAAATTTTATGGTCGACTAAAAGTAATGTTCGTTAGGAGATCTAACTTATTTACAGCAGGACTAGCCTAATTATTAGGTTATGAATTTTATTTTTATTTTGATCTAAGCTTTATCTTATAATATGGATGATGGTTCATCGTCTTTTTTTTCTGTTATTTAACTTAATTGTGTTACTTGTGTGTGTGTATGTGTAACCTACTTGCTGGCCCCGTTGAAAATAATTGAAAATACATTAAACAAATTTAATTTTAGGTATAAAGTCTTACTTTCCTTTAATAGCCTCAATTCATTTCAATCATTTCAGATCGTTATATTAATAACGGTCTGAAATGACTTTATTTAACTAATTCGAATTCATAATTATAAGCATTTCTATTAATTATTTTATATTTGTTATATTATTTCTGTTTTGTTTTGTTTTTTATTGCAGTAGATAATTTATTGTTAGTATTATCAGCCCACACACGTCCACTGCTAAACATCCTCCCCCCCAAGGTTCGTCTTATTGCTTGATTCTCTGAGCTGCCCGCGTCCATTGCATTCCCGGACCTTCAACAGGGCGTTGATCCACTTTAAGTTATTAAGCTCATACAAAAATGGAATTTCACGTTTTATTTGCAAATTTTAAACCTTACTTTTCCATTAAAGGTTTAATGACAACGTCAAAGGATTTTTTTTTTTTATTGCTTAGATGTGTGGACGAGCTCACAGCCCAGCTGATGTTAAGTGGTTACTGGAGCCCATAGACATCTACAACGTAAATGCGCCACACACCTTGAGATATAGTTCTAAGGTCTCAGTATAGTCACAACGGCTGCCCCACCCTTCAAACCGAAACGCATTACTGCTTCACGGCAGAAATAGGCGGGGCGGTGGTACCTACCCGTGCGGACTCACAAGAGGTCCTACCACCAGTAATTACGCAAATTATAATTTTGCGGGTTTCATTTTTATTACACGATGTTATTAGGCTATTTAAATATTGCAAGACAAATCGACCACGCAAATGAAATTATTAAGGCGACGGATATATTAACCCCAGCACAGGTAGGTATTCATTATTGAATGAAAGATATTGGATAATTGCCCGTAGCTGTGGCAGTCAGTACGGCCGGCAGTGCTTAGCTGCGTTCATATAGTACTCGGCAGAGATAACATCAGTAGCAAGAAGCGGCGCGCGCTCTCCGCATGTCCGTGCCGCAGTAAACAATTAGCTCTCAAATAAAACAGTAATGCATTCTGAGTGTGTGATTGTGACAAGTGATTATTTATTTATTTTTTTACATAACATTATTTAGATATGTAATGTGTTGCGACTCTTTAGAAGTATATTTATGCTTACATTACAAAAACTATTTACTAAATCATACAAAATAAATATGGCACGAAATTAAATCATACTCAACAAGTGCAGTGTTCCAAAATGTCAAAAAAGAAAAATGTCAAGACTCCACAACAGATATGGGAAGGGGTGTCATCTGTTTCGGTGCATTTTGTTGAAAGCATTTTTTTTTCGCTTGGCATCTTTGTGGCAAAGCATCCATGGCAAGTCATTTTTGGGACATTATTGTTTGTTACTGTGAGCTGTATCGGCTTAATACGGTTCCACATAGAAAAGAATCCAATGAACTTATGGGTCCCGCCAGATTCAGATTTTTATCACGATACAAACTGGTATATCAAAACATTCGGCACCGGCCTCAGACTTCAAAACATTATTTTCACCGCAAATGATGTATTACACCCAGATGTACTCATAGAAATAAACGATATTACTGAAAAAATAAGTGCCCTAAATATTAAGTATGAAAATCAATCCATTTCTCTTACTGATTTGTGTTACAAAGTTCCTGTTGTGAATTTTTTTGGCTCAAACTTTAATACAGGGTCAATTAAAACTAGTGATAAAACAAATAATTCAGCTAATAGTGATTACAGTGACAGTGTTTTTGAAGACCCGACCTTATGGGTTGATAGTGAATTCTATT